AGAGGGTACTCCTCTCGTCTTGTGCTTTGCACTCGCTTCGCGCTTCGCGTAAGACGCATTCGCCTCGCTTGGCTCATAAAGCAACTGTTATCCCGGCTACAAGGCACTTAGGCGATGGTTACTCAACCTTGTTCCCAGGGTCTTTCCTACCTGTCCGTCGCTCCGTAGAGGCGAGTAGGAGAGAACCCTGGCAACGAGTTTGATGGTTACGTTTTTTAGCACTGAGCGCTTATTTTTAAGAATTCGGAATGATTTATAACACATGTAAACGTTTACTTGCTATAAATATGAAACTTGCCATTCCAAGTCAGAGTTGATTTAATGATCGTCGCCTTTTTGAGGATCTAATTTGAAATCAAAAAGCATATATCACCCATAAATGTCCACAAATAAATAATTTAAAAAAAATTAAAGTGTAAAGAGGATCCAGAAGGGGAAGGGGTGCCAAATCCAAGTATCAGTATCCAGATATAAGTTTGGTCCAAATCCCACTGTTATCTGCAGTTTGTTTGCACTCTGATGTGCGAGCACAGGTGAGCTTGCTTGTAGACTGCGGTAAGTCCACGGTAAGGCTCAGGGGCGGATCCAGGATTTTTTTTTGAGGATGGGGTGCACTTGTCTCTTGCTCTACTTCAACACCAATAAACCACATAGTTCTTTTTTTTTTTTTTGCAGAATACCAGTTGTATTAGAAAACCGCAGGTCATCTCGGGGGGGGGGAGGGTGCGCACCCCCTGCACCCTCCCCCTAGATCCGCCCCTGAGGCTAAAGGTACGATAAAACGGGCAACAAAAACATGCAACTTGACTTACAACGTACATTGCTGCAAAATGAGTTGAAAAGCGACAAGACAGGTACGAAAGTGGGCGGTAAACGCGCAACATTGTTTTTCAACATGTTCTGCAACAATGTTTCAAAACAAGTTGTTTTTGTTGCCCGTTTTACCCTCAGCTATATAAAGTCACGAGAGAAATAGAGGGTCACGCTTGTGAAAGCGGAACAAACTAAGTTGTCACGATTTTGATCGAAAAAAGGCTATAATTTCAGTGTCACCTCCAGGTCATCAGCTCTCTAAACAGGGAAACAGAGTAACGCTTACAGTATTTTCTGATTTGCCGACAGAGACGAACGAAAAACGTCGCTGTACGCCCGTTTTCGCAGTTCGAACCCCATATAGATCAGCCATGTCGAACAAACAGCTTGTTTATGAAGGATTTACGCTGCCAAGATTGAAAGTCAAGGAAATTCTTGCAAGTAATGCGAGAGAAGATATTGAACTCAAAAATCTACATAAAAAACTAGACAAAGAGAAGGACGAAGTCGAGACTGACTTTTCCAAGACTCGCTCGCAGCTTCTTTCTCGGGCATTGGATCATCATATGACACTGGAAAGTCAACCATCTGAATTGGAAAACAGTGCCGACGATGGCTGGGAAACGACTTCGTTTTCTACCCTTGATGATTTTTCCGGCTTGCAAGATGCATTCGAGATAAACTGTTACAGCCATCCTTCTGATTATCATTCGAACCCTAAGCAGTCTTGGGCAGAGAAAACCACACATTTTGAACCATCTTTGACTTCAAAGAACGAGCTTGTTGCCTCTAAGTCGCAAACAAAGCATAAGATTAGCTTGGGTGGTAGAGCTAATCCCCACGTGAAAAACTGGAACACCGCAAGGAGCGAACGTTTCGAACAATCATTGGTCGCTAATCAGGTAGATGCATTAGAAACACAAACCAAGCGCAAGACAAGTGTGGTAGGGAAAATTCAGCTTAACACGGAAAAGTGTAGCGGGTTTAACTTAACTGACTCCAAACAATTTGTCGTTACGAAAACTAGCCAGCCAGATAGAACGAAGTTCAAACACAACGGCAAGATAAGCCGGACAAGGAGAGGTCATGTTTATACTGAAAATGGGGACACAGGCCTGTATCAGCTGAGGAAGTCTATCTCAGAAGAAAGTGTTTGCTCAGAACCAAGAGCAAGTCCGCCACTGGATGTTTCACATTCTAGAGAACGAAGGCACACAGTTGCTGGGAGATCTAAAAGTGTCTCCAATAAAAGCTCTGTGTTCACGAAAGAGACTTTGCAGAAACAACGCTTGTCGACTCCCAAACATGTTGTCACAAGACGCCATACAGTCTGTTGTAGGCCAAAAAGATATGGTCTTAGTTCCTCTGTTAAGGAGAATACCTCGCAACAGAAACCTTTGGCGGATCTGCTCCCTCCAATAAAATTGCCCCCTGTTTATCTCCAAGAGAAAAAGGACAAAAATCAAGGCAAGAAAACAAACAATAACGTCGTAAACACAAGTGAGAAAGTTGGTGGTAAATCCTATGATGATACTATTCAGGATCTTAAACATTGCCGTTATTTGAGAATAAAAACAAGTGATGACGACGAATATGCCAGTTGGTAATGGGTGCTAAGAGTACTTAAGCGTTCGTAACTTGTGCGGTGCGCTCTGAGACAAGGGGATGACACAAAGTTCGACCCTCAAAATGTCTGTACCTCATGCAATGTAAAAATACTATTTTTACAAACAAGTATAAAAAGTATATAAACAGGTCGACAAAATCAAGGTACGAATAACCGAAGTACTATAGGAAATAAAACCTAGAATAGCTGCAAAGTACAATTTAAAAAGATACTACTTCTCGACTTTTCGAAGAGCGTCCATAATTGACTCACTACATGTCAAGTACAGGCCTCGTGCGCCACTCGGCATAAAGAGAACTGAGTGCGTGAGTGATATACTCTTATTTTTATAAGAGTGTTGTTTTCCCGGCCCACTGAATATTCTTATTTTCTGCCGATTTTAGGCTCAAAATATTCTTGTATTATTCTCAAATCATAGCTTATAACATTTCCGTTTTAGAATGTATCGGGGATATATCAATTATGTGCAGGTTTTCCGTTTTGTTGGCAAGTATTGCTATTTAAAGAATGGAATAAATTGTATTTACTGTCTCTGAACACACAAAATTATATCCTTTTCAAAATCCCAGCCTGGGGTTTATTCTTAAAGTATTCTTATAAAATTTCACAAATTTCAGTCTCGATATTCTTACAAAACATATTCTTATAGAAAAAAAGAGTGCACTTGACATCGCCATCTGTCTTGACGTTCTAAGCTGTTTACGTTTCATTCCGCTGTTGAAATTTTAAAAATTTGTAAAGGCTTGTATTAATCCGTGCAGCCCTAGAAAACCGCGTTGAACCAAAAAGGTTAAATTCAAACGTGTAGCTGAAGAACGCAAACGGAAAAGAGTTTGCAAGAGCAGTTTTTAAGATCTCTTAAGTTTAAAATAATTTTACTGTCTTAAGCCTTGACGTTTTGTCAGCTTTACACAGTAAATTTCTTACATTCCAAGACTGTTCAGGGACAACTGCGTGACAAATCTTAACTCTTAACGAAAAATGACAATACAGATATGAGGTGGAGTAAATGAAAAACAAACGATCCGCGCACAAACGTCTAAAAGTTGATTTCCCCTGTCGCGTACTTTTTATGTGCGCACGCACGTAAATTTTATACTCGTCAGATAAAATAGAGGCAGTAGAACTGTTGCGCCTAAACTTAAAATTCAAGCAAGGTTAAACTTTTACGTTTGCGCGCAACCGTTCATAGATTGCCTCTATTTTATTCATTTACGCACGTACGCACTTACAAATGACGAGATAGTTGAAATCAAACTTTTACGTAGTTCAAAGAATTTAGGTCCGTGTGCACGTAAAAATAACGCGGAAGTGGAAATCCACGCAAAGGCCCACACTTTGTGTCAAAAAACTAGTGCCTGGGTACTGGATATGTACAACATGGTGTTGTGTTCACACCTTGCATAACCGATAGAGCGCTTTTCAACTGAGTGTCGAAAACCAAAACCAAAGTAATCACAACGGCCAATCAGAATAAAGGAAATTATAAGAGGGAGCCAATGACAACTCGAAGTAAACGCGTGTAACCGGCCTGTAGCGCGGGAAAACGCGAGTGACCAAGGAGCGATTGGTTTTAGTTTACATCTGATTGGCTGAGAGGGTGGCGCGAGTTTTCTAGACCAATCAAACAGCACAGTAAAGCAAAACCAATTCAATCCTGGATTACTTTCAACACTCAATTGAAAATTGCTCTATACTATAAAACTAATTTTTGTTTACCTCTAATATAAGCTTTTCGTGCCGGTACGGAAGGCTTTCCGGTATGGTGTGAACAGCTGCCTGATATGTGACTCTTCACTTTAGAGATCGGCGCGGTGCAGCTTCGCTCCGTTACTGAAACCGCGTCGAAATCGCCGTTCTTTTGTGTGGTTTTCGTGTCGGCGAAAAAGCTGTCCGGCATAGTATGAACGTAGCCTTATTGGGGGCGAAGGGGTGGGTTGGGGGGTATATGTACACTTTGTCCGAACTTTGGCTCGGCCAGCCGGGTCAATAGAGAGGAGAAGTGTGACGTCGCGTTACCATGGTAGCACTATTTCTGGATGACAAGAAAACCAACGACGACGGCGATGAGAACGGCCAACGTTTATATTAACAAACAACAACTATTTTGTACATTTCTTTGCCGTCGTTGCCCGCTTTATGGAGTAGGTAAACACAACACAAAAATTGTCGCTCTCTTTTTCTAAACTTAGACAAAAATAGATACGGTCCCAAAGAAAGTTTCGCCAAGATTTGCCAAATTAAGTGGAACTGAATAAGATCGGTAAAGTTTGCAATAGTGCGAATAAACTTTTAAGTGACTTTGTCGGTTTGTTGTCATCCAAAAATTTTGCCACTATGGCAACGTGACGAAACGACTTCTCCTAGGCAAGACAACCAGAACATGCGCGAGCGCTAGCTGTTGTCGGCTCTTGGTTCGGGCAAACCTCGCATAAGTTGACTTGGCTGGGAGTGTGACCCTCTTTCCGGCGCGACTTTTTTTTCCCAAATAAACGGGACGTAAGGTTAAAGATTCAGCATAAATTAAAATATACATGTTCAAAACACTTCAGCATAATTCACCACACCAAGTTTATTTAATGGAAAAGATTTATACAGTCTGTACAACCAATACAACGTACGTACCTTCATTTGTTAATAAAAGTTTCAGTAGTTTTATTGAATAAATTGTTGAGTAAAAACTACAAGAGCGGTTCATGAATGTATATTTACAGAATATTGATAAACTGAAGGAAATCAACAGATAAAAGATATAATATAATGTATGTTATTTTATGACAAAACAGTACACTTACTGTAACATAGTAACATTCGGTAACATTCGGCCACTTTGTGACAAAACATAATACACTTTACAATATCCAAAATATTAAATACACTTACCAACAGCTGATACACGCGGTATAAAATTTAAAATGTTTTTAAATTAACAACATTTCGAAAACACAGCTCTTGTGGATTAAAGAGGTACGGTTCGGATGTCATACAGTAGCATAAAACAGTTACATTTCCTTCACTAGAGACTGCTGTTTACACCACAATGGCCAGTCTGCTGGAACTACTACACGTTCGCGCAAGGGTAATCTGTACAATCAGTCATTAGCGACTTCGTGTACCTGACATCAAAATAACAAAAGCGCCCACACCAACAGTTTTAACCCTTTAACCCCTAAGAGTGATCAGCAGCAAATTTCTCCTTGTAATATCAATGCTATGTAAAACAGAGTGGTCATGCGAATTAAGGACATTATCACACAAGATGAATTTCCTTGATATTTTATCAACTTCTCCTCACTACTTCTGTACGAAATGAATAGAGGCAACAGATGAGAATTCAAATTTTGATCTTAGGGTTTAAAGGGTTAATAAGAACCGCGTGTAGTTATCCAGTGCCGCTCTGCAGTAGCAAGGCACTACATGGGGCCCTTATCCTCATAGCTCTCCGCCTCGTCTCTAAAATGATCCACTAAGTTGTTTATCTCCGCCACCCTGTTCCGGTTTCTCTTCACCTCGTCATTGTGGATTTTTTCGTTCAGTGACTGCATTCTTGTTGTGGCACGAGTCAAGACGTCATCCTCCTAAAAATGCAGTAACAGTTAACGTAGTAAGAAGGCAGGCCCAACGACTTTTAAGGACTTTTCAAGAACCACTTTCGATTTTCAAGGACCACCTACCAGGAATGTAATTTCGCACATTGTAAAAAAAATGCACGTTCTCAGTTCATTCCAACAGGACTATAAAGCTTGAACTGTTTTTCAGTTCACTTGTCTCAAACTAATACTTAATTCTTACATAAAACAAAAAACGCTTTTTGTAAATTACTTTGAACCTGAAATGCATCAATTCATCAACACCTATATCTGAATCACGCGAGACCTTATCTACATGACCTACCGGAGGCTTTACTTTACCAAAACTAAATAACAATAATAATAAATAATAAAAATAAATCTTAGTAATGAACCTAAAACTTCCCTAACTTTGCTTTCTTGAGTCATTGTTCGTCAGGTCACTAAAACCCACATTGAATGATGGGATCGAAGGAAATAAACAAGTCCCAGGGGGGGGGGGGGCCTTAACTGAGATTTTACGCTAGCAACAAGAAGCAGTTGATAGGTACTAGGTTCGACTCGCCTGATGGGACAGTTGGGATGTTTGTTCTGAGTCACCTGTGTCACTGCTGACCGAAGATACATCAATTTCTTACCTTGTTATCAATCTTGAGAAGGTGAGTGTCATGAGAAGCGCTGACAGCATTCATAATGGTGTCCTTGTCAACAAACAGCTTCAGAAAAGAACACAAAGTAATCACAGTTGTAATTTCATTTTGTTTTATTGTGATTCTGGAAGTGACCAGCACTGATGAAATTTTCAAAAATAATCAATGTACAAATTCGTACAAAAAGAACGAATCCGTCATCAAATTTTGTAAGATGGTTGATCGCAGTCTGAAATTAGAATGTACCCAGGGAATGTCATGAAAGATGTTGTTCATCGTGGTTAATGTGTGTAAAGTTTTTCGTTGATAGCAGCCGATCGCTGCCACAGCGGAACGCTGAGGGAACAGTTTCCTCCTCTAACAATGCCAACAATCCTTTGGAAGGAGACCCATCAACCAAGAACGAGGTTCATGATACATCAATCACCAACAACCATGGTGGTACATATAGTCGTACTCAGTAAATCGACACTATCGCCTGTTGAAGACGTGCAGTACGTGGTCGAAACGTCTCGATCAATATCTAGGTGACGATCGTGAGACAAACGATAAACGAAAACCTTTATACCAAGAGATTGCTATCAATCCTTTCCAAAGTCAATTATACTTCACGAAGAGTAAACAAAGGAAATCACTGCCTCGAGGGAAGGACGTTTGGCTTTCCGTTACTAATTACCATAAAGACTGACGATAATTGCAGTTAACGCTTACTGTAATTGTGTGAAAAAAGTGGATGTGACAATATCACTGAAAATGCCTACTAGCACTTACCATTCTCAGGTCATCAGGAAGATCTTCCTCCAGTTCATTCTTCATCAACTTTTCAAGCGTGACTACAGCGATATCCGACACTTTTTCGTTATGTGCGTTTTCCATGTCTCTTAACTGAGTCATTGTAAAAAGAGTTACGGAAAAAATACCAACTACTTTGACTGTGTTAGCTCTGCAAGCTTAGGTGTTGCCAACACTTTAAAGAGAGACGTTTTGTAGCAAACGGATCTACAGTCTCTGTAAGTTGTTTAAGCACTTGAGGTTGTCATTGAAATTAATCTTGGTAACACAATAGAGGAGTTCACGCTCATGGTTGCATCATGGGTAATCAGGGTAAGATGGCGGGAAATTAGAAGATTTGTATTGGAATTTAAAGTCAGCTAATTCTTCCCAAATTCATATATTTGATGCTTTCTCTTTGAAAAGAGTAAGTTACGAGTTCAAAGAAACAATAACCTAAATCTGGAGTGCAAAGAAGTCTGTGATCAGTTTTTAGAAAACCTCAATTTTTCCATATCTGTAATTTTGATACTGTCGAATTACAGAAAATGTATGGGAAAATCAAGGTTTCCTAAAAACTGACAAGGGACTTTTATGTTAAGTAACTACCGGTATATCACTCTTACAGTTTACCATCCAATGACTTAATTGACGACTTAAGAAACGAATTAATCTTTTTGCTCTCACGAGTGCTCAAAATGAGATTTTAAGAAAAACCCCAATTTAATTTACAGCATAACGTTTTTTTTAAGAGAATAATACCTAGTTGAAGCACTGCTGAAGAGGCGTCACAAAGTAAGTGATACACACACGCTTCAAAACTTAGTACTCAATTCACCAAATAATAGTACCATGTGAAAGTACTACTGAAGAGGTTTCATTTGAATGGTAACACCATAGGATTTCATCCACAGACTCAAAAGTTAGTATAACATACCAAATAAACAGTACAACGTGAAAGTACTGCTGAATTGAAGAGGTTTCATATAAATGGTCACACCAAAGGATTTCATCCAAAGGCTTAAAAGTTAGAAATACATTGCACATATCAAAGAATAACTCTGGAGCGAATTAGGCTTAATAAGATGGAAGAAAAAAAAAACAAAAACAAAAAAAGGTTGCATGGATGGGCAAAAGTGGATTTAAAAGACTAACAGAGATTGATTTCAGTTAAGCTTAATAAACAGTGCACCCTTGACTGGTCTTGTTATGTGATAAAGGATATAATCCTTGCACATGCTCAATAAAAGCAGTCACCAGGTCTGCCATGTTCCTTTCAAAGTCTTTGATTGTGTCCTGTTAAGGGGGCAAAAATGAAGAACGTTATAGATAGTTGTTCTTTTGTCTTCAATTCTAAAAAAATTCATAAAATCAATGACAAGATTGCAACGCACCTCTAACTGATCCACCAGTTCCATTTCTAGTCCCATGAGGGTGTCCCACAGTTTTCTGATTTCCTCCAGAATCTCCTTCATCAAGCTTTCCATGTGAATTTGATCAGTCATGCTGGTGTAGTCTAAAAATACCTGATGATGCAAGCCAAAATGGACTGATTACAGGTAATAGCTTCAAAGACTGTGTCAGAAATCTGGTTGCAGACTTTGCAGTAAAAAAATGATGAAATAGAAAATAGAAAACATTATTTGACTACATCTCTTCACCCTGAGTATGAGCAGCTCAAAAAACCTATGACATAATGCTGAATGTTGAGCTGTTACAGCAGGTCTATGAAGATTGAATTTTCATAAATTATGTTTACAGATACTAGCAGGGTTCTTCTTGTAAACAAACATCTGACGGACGATCAAACTCAACCTACTTTTGAAATGACTCCTGGGTTCAAACCTTTAACAAACAACTCTGGTTTATGGACAAATGGAAAGAATGGCTACCATCCCCCTTACATGTATCTGTCATATGCCTGCTACAGATACTAGAGTTTTGTAATAAGTCCTCACCTTTTTCTTGTACTCGATGTAGTTGTGAATATGTTTGACTCCGGCATTGTTATTATCTTTTGTTGCTTCCTCTAAACAAGAGAAAAATGAAGCAATCTCTGCCTCTCGTTTTTCATGCTCCTTTAAACCAAACTCAAATATTTCTTCGCAGATGGCTGTGAACTTCTCTTTGTATCTTGAGTTAGTTAAAGTATAACCAGAGTTCTCATAAAGTTTTAAATTAGACCGCTAGTATGTAAAAGTAGGCAGCTTGGCAATCAAGTGCTGCAGGCAATTTGAGGCTATCACTCCCTCACTTAACCCATTTTTACTCAAAGTTAAGACGGCTTAGACCTTAAAGTACAGACGACTCCCCATAACTTGAACCTTCAAGGGAAATCAAAAATAGTTTGAGTTATTGGAAGCTTGAAGAAAATTGCTGGGAGAAAGGAAAAAACAGTTTTACTGCACAATGAACATTTTAATCACACTTAATTGTAGAAATGTTAAGTGAAAATTGAAAGATACTACTAGATTATAACTCAGAATGTAACGCAGTAACAAAACATTGCCTAAATAGAGCATGGGTTTTATTGTTTTGAGAAGTAAAGCTGCTTCACATAGATTGGAGACAAACAACATCAACCTTCATGAGGAAACTATGTGCGTACAACACGTCAAATAATTATGGAAAATTCAAAATTCAATGTTTTGGACACTCTGCCAACTTTTTACGGGCTCAAAACATGGTTTGAGTTATTAAGGGTAAAATTTTAAATGAATGATCTGAGGGGAAACAAAAATTACTTGGAGTTAGTGGGAGGTTTGAATTCTCAAGGGTCGAGTTAATACCAAGGGTAAAATTACAGTAAATGTATGACGGAAATCCAGGGAAAATTGATTTTGGTTCGAATTAGCGCAAGGTTCGAGTTAGCGAGGGTTCGAGTTATCAAGAGTCAGCCGTAGCTGGTTTTTCATCTGGTTACCAGCTCTAAATGAGAACTTCCCCTGCAGTATATGGTATTACTATTAAATGCAATAATATTCTTCTTCTACAGTTGGGTCATGCCAATCTTGTAATCAATGTAAATTGTAACAAGAATAGTGCAAAATGATTACCAGTACCAGAATTCTAATTTTCAACTGATATGCTGACTTGCTTCATGAACATTTCTGTAATATTGTAGACACCCCACCAGCAGGCATTAGACTTAGTACAGACAGCCACTGACTCCCTGAAATGTTTGACTGAAACAATCTCTCACCATTACAAGTATGTGGAATGGAATTTTTGGTCCTGAATTTGTTCTACACGACTCATCTTTGTAGAGACAACATAACTTGGAATATTGTTTTCTGTGAAAGGATACCCTTCTAACAATTCTTCCATTCCTGGAAGGGCTGCTAGTTTGCTGGCTTCAGGATCCTCTGAATACATACTCTCAAAGAGCCATGGACCATTTAGATCCTCCACATAGGCAAGCTGAAGATTTTAAACAAAATAATAATAAAATTGTGCTCATCACTACTTACAGGATAATTTCAATTTAAAAATTTAGTACGACCTCATAAGACAGCTGCATAAACTCAGCTTCATCTCTAGTTAATTTTAAAAAATGATACAGTTATAAAATAAATTATTACCTTATGTAACTGTCTTTCCTTCTGCTTTTCTTCTAATTCATCTTGCTTTCTCTTGGCTATTGTCTCATCATGTACTCGCTCCTCAACAGAATATTTGTACCTTTCAGCTGCAGCTTCACGAGCTGACTCATCAATCAGACGGAAGTCCAGATAAACAAGCTCTGGCAGATGTGCAATGACATACTCTTTGTAATTTGCTTCTTCAGCAAAAGGGTTTCCACTCAGGTTCAAAGTTCTTAAGACTTTAAACCTTCTAAGGTAGATAACCTGAAATTGAATGATCAACCTTTCCTTACACTAATTAAGTAGATGCTTTATGGTTTTTTCAACTTTTGGCTGGGACCTGTTATAAAAAATTCATCAACACCACTGGAAAGGTTACCTTAAAATCATTAACAATACAGAAAAATCTTCCCTGGAGTGAAAACTTTAAGAAGATATTAGCTCTACAAAGTAGCAAAATTTTAAAGGCATTTGTCTCCAGTCGTGTGGGGCAAGTTCATATCCATCCACCAATTATTACAAATGACTGTAAAGTTTTGCAACTTTGTGGAGCAGTATCTAATAAATCCCTTTCTTTGGACATATCACCTTTAAACTTGATAACTTCACTAATTTTAAGGAGCTCTCTTTCCAGTAGTGTCAATGGATATTTGCTTACTGGTATTATTTTCATGATTTTACCAAAACTTAAAAAAACTCATGGAAGAGTTTATAATTCAGTTGATGATAGTAAAGTTCATCATCACACTGGGCTGAAAAATTATGGTTTTGTCAATGTTCTGGAGGCCAATAAATGATCTGCCTTTGTTATGTTTTCAGAACTCACACTCATCCGGCCTCTTGCTTAACATCATATAAAAAGAGAATTTATTATTATTATGAGATAAACCTTTCTAGGAACACCAGTTATACACAAGAAATCTGCCTTTTATTCAGTTTTTAATTGAAATCAACTTATCATTTGAGTACTTACATCATCCAGTTGTTTGAGGCTGTTATTCCCGACTGAAAACACATGAAGCTGAGACAGGGAGTCCATGTTTTCAATTTTTGAGATTCTATTGTTGTAAAGGGTAAGATCTTTAAGTTTGGTGAGTTTATCAAGCCCCTCAATGACTTCAATGTTGTTAAATGACAAGTCTGCAATTGAAATAAGAGCTTATGAGCGAAAGTACAGATATTAAAATCATAACTGCTACTTCCCAGACAACTGCCAGGGAACCTAGGAAATGAAAAGATATGACTTCCACAAGCATTTTATTCGGTTTTGGCTTCAGCACAAACATTCTTTGAATCCAACCTATATCAATTAAAGGCTGTAAGCAGACACTTCTCCTGACCTTAAGTCTATATAACTTCTGGAAATCAACTGACGTGATACAACTCACTTTGACTCTGAAGATGACTACCGCACAGGTTGTCGAAACGTCAGTCACTGTCAACAACAACAGTCCTATTCAGGACTATGTTCACCCGGACGATCAAACTCAACCTACTTTTGATACTGTACTGTATTCACTTGATTAAATGTAGGGTTTATTTGAAGATTATGAGTAAAACAACTTTGTAATTTACATCATTTAGAAAGCCAAGTATGAATTTTAATATATTGAAATAGGTCTATTCAATTTGGGGGGCGGGGGGTGCAGCTGTCTCAGGGTTCCATTCATGCCCCCCCGCCTCACCCAGGAAGACCAATGGAAAAGATTATTGATACACTAACAAAGGAGTTTATTCTTATTTATTTTTACCTAGCCACTCCAAGTTAACGAGCATTTCCAGGCCTTCTATCCTTTCAATAATGTTGTTATCCATTTGCAACTTCGTCAAGTTGACAAAGCTCCATAAATTGTCGATTTTTAAAATATCTTTGCGAAAAAAAAAACACATACAAGTCTTCGTTAAACAAGATAAATCAATCATCTAATTCCGCACATGATATCTTTGTTGGCAAAAATAATAAACACCTACTTTTAAAATCAAGTCTCAGCGAAAGGACGTCTCCAAAATCAATGCCTTCTTGTTTGGCGATCCTCCCGGCTTCACTTTTCGGTCCCTGCTCCTCGACAGCATCTTTGAGCATCTGCTCATCGATGACAGAAGGCTCTATTGTGTCGTAAAGACGACTCATCTTGTAAAGGATAAGAACAAAAAGGCTACATTTGCACTGAAGTTAAAAGACAAAACTTTCAAAGTTCGCACTGTTTCTTGTTGTCCAGGACAACCTCAGATCCTTGCAAGGTGCGAGGGGACTGGTTTCAAACGATATTATTACTCATGCTCTTTGTGCAGTACCCGCTGAAACGTTGCTAAAGGCTCACGAATGAAAAACTTTCACAAAAACTCTTAATATCTGCTCTACGGTTTTAAAGATTTCTGCTTCCAAAATGATGGAATATGAGTATGAAATAGACCCAAGGTGAGGAAATGAAAAGAGTAGGCACCGGAAAGATTTTGACTCGTCTCGATTTTATATAAACCAGCATTATGTTTGATATTTTTCGTTTTGTCTCTCAGGGGTCTACAAGGCAAACCGGGATCAGTTGTTTTGAAAAAGGACAAGCAGAACTTAATTGGTATCAGTATAGGAGGAGGAGCCCCTCTTTGCCCATGCCTTTATGTAGTTCAAGTATTTGATAACACACCAGCTTCCCGAGACGGTGTCCTTCAAGCTGGAGATGAAATTGTTGGTGTAAATGGGAAATCTTTGAGAGGAAAGACCAAAGTAGACGTGGCAAGAGCTATTCAAGCAGTTAAAGTTAGTTTTTTTATACTTGTGAGACGGCACAAAATGAGCAGTGTCAGATTTAAACCTATAGTCCTTCACAAGGTTCTAGCTAAGATACTGAAGTGCATGCGTTTGTCGTAGGCCAAATAGGTTTTCTTGACATGATTGAATGATCCTGATTTATTATTGTCCATACGTGTCATTAATTATTGATACATCTGAAAAAACGTTTATCTCAAATAAGCTGAACATGACCATTGTGTCTGACGTCTACTTCCCATCAAAGAAACTGCGCTATATCATGTACATTTGAAGTCTTATTGATTTCTTATTTTGAAATAAAAAGGCTTCAGTGAAATATAAACGAGGAAATTTACAGCCGTGTTATTAAGGAAGTATACCCTTAACATTTACTGATCTCGTTGTCCCAAGTGAGTGCCCTGTCTGCTTACCGGTCATGTTGCTACAGAGTCATTTTGCTACAAATGTTTGTGTTGCATGTGGAAGTTGTTTTGCAGCAGACAGGCATTTTGCATATTTAGTGTAGAAAACATACAAAAACTTTGCTTTTATAGGCAAAGTTGCTATAGATATATAAGCTTGAGTTTACATTAGCTATGACTTGGTGGCTTTTAAAAGAATCTTTGTTATGATGTATTAAAACAAAAAATGCTTTGGAGCAAATCAACTTCATAATGCAGAGACATGACTTGTAGCAAAACAACTGGACACTGCCTGAGATCTGAGAAAACATTATTCTCAGAAATTTGATTCTTGGGAATGGGCTATCAACATTTAGCACACTGAACCCTCCCAGCTTTCTTAGACAGGGTGCAAAGAAAATCGGTATGGCTTGCCATTTGGGCAAGTTGTTGCTAGTATGTACTAGCCCAAGAGCCTTTTACGTAGCCCCAAAAAATTTTTGATGAGCATCATTGATTACAGTTCTTCTCTAATTTAAATTTCCCCAAAAACTTCACTTGCCATTTGGGCAAGTTAATAACAGGATTCACTAGCCTGATTGCAAAATCCGCTAGCCCCAGGCTATTGGACATGAGTTTCTTTGCACGCTGCTTTCATATAAGGGGGCACTGGTGAATGGCTCTACCAAATTTGGGTCTCAGAAATTTTTGCCTGATCTCAAAATTTCAGGAGAAAAAAAAAACAAAACAGTTCATCTCTGAATTAACTAAGGAAAGAGCAGTGGAATTTTACCTTATTTGTATGTTTTGATTTAAAACGTTTATTCACAATTCAATTTTGTCAGGAAGAAGTGATTATCAATTATGTCAAATTACATGCTGAGCCAGCAGAAGGAAAAACTTTAGACATAAGTAAGTACATTGCGAATGAAAATGTAGTTTTATTAGCTCTAGTATTAATTACATATTGTGATAATTATTTTTTTACTAATTAGACAAATATGATTTTTAAATAATCCTTACATTTTTAACCTTGATGAGTAACTTAGCAGAGTTTTTAGAATAGGTAAATCCATAGAACTGCCTAAAGGAACTGAAATCAATTCAAAACTCTTGAATTGAAATTGTTAGAAAGGCCTGATAATATTTTTTTATGAGTTACACTTAATAATCACTTCCAGTATTAAAGTAACTCTTTTTTTCTACTGATCACTTTTGTGTTATTACTCACTATTGTATCATTACTAAGTACTTTCAATATCTTGGATAGTCTTAAAGAAAATGAAGCATCGAATTGTGGAGCATATGAGTTCATCAACTGCAGATGCTTTGGGGCTTAGCAGAGCAATTTTATGTAATGGTAAGAGAGAAAATATTAACAAAATAATGTACACCAAGTCATGTTTTAAATAATTTATAATGTATTCTGGTATATTATGATTCTATTTCAAACGACTTACCTGTTGGGCAAATCAATATCTTCTCATTAATACTTCTCAAAGTGCAAATGTCTCAAACCTTTTACTCCTCATAGTGGCCAGAGAAAAAATTCACAAAAAAATTTTGAATTTCTTTTTCCAAAATCCCAAAACATTTAAATCAATATTACTACATTTTATATTAAGTGCAAAAGTTCTGTCAAAGATGTTTCATTTCAATGGTAAAACCATTACATAGTTAAAATTGAGAGCGGCATTGAAATAAAATTGCCATAACATGACCTAGATGTGTAAGGGTTAAACCACTGTAAGGTGTATGGCCCATTTTTTAAGAGCACTGATCTGTGAAGTCGAGGGTCACTGGTTATATTCTAGGTACAATACCAGGGTTTTAAAATTACTGAAAGAGAAGGTACTGCCTTTGCCCTGAAAATGGCTAGACCTTGACATAACTCAAAAATTGAATTCTTGTCTCCAGTAGGGTATGAAAAAGCAATCCTAGTATTTTTAGGGGTAAATACATTGACACTTTTAAAAATAAAGGATGACTTTGGGATTTTAGAGTATTATACCCTGGCTCCAGAGTTTCATTCTCAAAATACCTAGGATGAAATAAACACGTGCTTACTGTTGATAATTTAGCTCTCAAGACGGACCTCTGGTCACACAAGCAAGCAACCTCATTTCCATGCCAGAAATCAGTTCAGAATCTGAACTGGGTCACTGACTGGTTACTCCCATGTCTGCGGGGAATTAACGATGTAACAGGGAACTTGATTGGCTTCATCAAAGAACTTCACTGCTTGAGATTGCTCCTGTGACCATTGGTTGTTTTTTTTCTCTTGATGCTTTATGCCTCTTTGTCACTGCTTCGCTGCAAACTATCAGGAATTAGATAAGAAAAAATAGCCTCTGGAACCCAGGATAACAGTGTTACAGTGAAGAAAACAATAATTTTGGATTAGAGAGCATTATTTTTTCTTGACTTATTTAATGGCAGACAAATAATCTATTGCAATGTTTTAATTAGGTAAAGGCTTGACGTAGCAAACAAAGCAAAATTGCCCTATTGAACATTCAGAAATGGGATGGTGGGATCATTTTGTCCCCTTCTAAAGAATGAGCCTTCAGGATTTTTTTGGTGTGGTTCAAACCTGTCGAACCTCTGTTTGTCTTTACACATACACTGTACCATGCAGTATAAACTTTAATAGTTCCTGTAGATAAACAATTATTCATTCTTGTCTTTTTGTTCCTTTCAGATGGTCTTATTAAGAAATTGGAAGAACTTGAACAAAATTCTAACATTTACAAGGGTAAGTGTGGTGTTTCTTGATAAGATAATTTTGTGTATTATACATGTAAATGTAATGCGGTGGACTGTATGAATACATACATGTAGGATGTGATTTTGAAGGGTTTAAACATACTGTACTCTGCAAACTAAAGTTATTACATATTACAAGCAGTTACAAGTGTGTAGTGTATCATAATAATTATATTACACAGTCTAAAGTGTCACAAACAAACTATTTCTAATAGAAGATCACCAACAAAAACTCTGATAAAAAAGCGACAGGGACAGAGGGATGAGAGAATAACAATAAATTATTACTAAGTATCGTTTTTTGTTCATCAGGTCTTCTTGATCATGCAAGACAGTACCTTCAAAGTTTCTATAATTTGGCACAGACGCATAAAGGTGACTTGGAATTTTTAGTTCATACTATTCAAATAATTTTTTTTTCTGTGGTAATTAAAGTCATCAGCAGTTGAAGTGCTTGAGAAATTACAGGTGTCTTAAAAATTAGTGGATGGGTGGGGGAGGAGGCCTGGGTGTAAGGAGGTTTCCTTGGCAACCAGCCTGTATGTGGGGTCTACCTCAGCAGTGGCCACCAACAGGCATCATCACCTTGAAGCTCATTCCAGTGAAGAAACGTGCCTGACTCTTCAATACTTATCTTCCAAGTCAAACCACCCTTGGACCAGGGAGGTTGAGGTCATTATTTGTGAATGTAAAGGTGGTGATTCCCAACTGTTGTAATAACGCCAGGGTACAGAAAGATGCAATCAAACTGTGCCAACTTAAGCAGGTCATATTCAAAAATGGGTGAAACTACTTCAGCTGTAACAGCTTTGGCTGGAGGTCAACCTTGCTTTAAATGTGGCTTAATGGAATTTATGCTAAGTCAAACTCAAGACAATGCATGCCAGCAATCCTTTGTATGAGAGTTTTTTTTTGGGGGGGGAAGGGTGCTCAAATACTTTCACAGGGGACTTTTGGGATTGACTGGTTCTCAGTTGAAGTCAGGCCATGTTTGCAATGCATGACATTGCTTTAGTGCTTGTGAAGTGTTATGCTTTCCACCTTCCCTCCCTTTGGTAATGTATGCTGGGAGGATGCCTATTACAGGGTTGTAATGGTTGATTATGCTTTACACTTAGCTGCTGTTCCTTGCCCCATAAGGCCACCAGCCTCTGAGGCACTTCCCCCACATGTTGTATGTTGATGGGATTAATATGTAGCCAAATCACAGCACCTCTATTGGTACCTCTATTGGTGAAGCATGAGTCCTTTATTTTTTTTTTGTTCTTTAGTTAATAATTCTTATTTTTTCTGTAGAACTTGGAGAAATATTTGCTGCTATTGGTGTAAGAGAATTACAACCAAATGCAAGTGAGGCATTTGCAATTTTCAGTGAGGCCCACAGGTATTTTTTTGCTCTTTAATTTTACAAATCAATGTCAATACCAATCTTATTCTGTTCAGAAACCATTGATAATAAAATGTTTGCTCACTCAGGGTATTTGCATGCTTGTCTAAGTTTTTTTGTGTGATTCAGTTAGAAGATATAAAAATTATCTGAACTAGGCATTTGCCCATCAGGTTATTATTATTGAGGATGAAAGGTAACTTGCCCACAAAAAGAATCTAGTTCCCCTATTATTTTAATGTCAGTAGCATGGATCAGTGTATTCAATGTTTAATTCTCTTTTTCTGTCCTATTACTGACAATAAATTATTATCATTTTTTTGTTTATCTTGTTTCTTAGGAGTTTTGAGAAACTAGGACTGGATTACTTAAAGAAAGTAAAGCCTATGCTCAGTGATCTCAACACCTATCTCTCAAAGGTAATTAAAATGAATGTAAATGAATATAGAGGATATTAAATACATGCACGTGGATACAAATTTTATCTTTGAGTGTTCAACTCGATATCTCACTTGTTCCCTGTGCTCACTCATGAGATATCGAGTTGAACACGAGAAGAAAAATTGGTATCCACAAGCGGGCATGAAATATTCACACCAATGGCGAGATGCTGTGATGCTGTTTTCCTATTGGCTGAGACTGAAGTAGCCATGACAAGCGTCATATCTTCACTTGTGAAGGATAAAAATTATTGTATCTTCATGGGATACCAAATTTTTGCCACTGGAAAAATCCTGCTATTTCATTGGTGTCTTGGTAATAAAAAAATATTATCAGCTTGCCTTGAATGAGCTAACTTAAATTATATGTACAATTTAAAAAACGAGCAGGGGTGGCTTTGCCTCAAGTTTTTAAACCTGATTATACACTACTGCAAGTTTTTGAACAGCAACTCATTCTTGTACTAATATTTAGATTTGGGATTATTTTGGTCTAAAAAACTGGATGTAAAGTTTAGCCTTGTCTTTATCAGTTGAAAGACACTCATTAAACATTAGTGTCTTTTGTTTTTTCTTTATGAATTATTAATAAGTTATTGAAATAGTTATAATAAAATTTTCAATATGTATGTTTATTTTTCTGTAAGATGGCAGCAAACGTTGGTCATATGATGAAATCACATTAGCTGTTTTATAACAGTAGTACATGTTACATTATTATTAAATTATTAAATTATTATTATCATCATCATCATCATCATTATTATTATTTGATTTTTTTGTGAATAGGCTATTCCAGACACCAAACTAACCATCAAGAAATACGCTGATGCAAAGTTTGAATACCTTGTAAGTGTTGCCTGTCCTTTTAGCTCGCCATTCTTTATTGAAATAGTGACCCATCTTCTATAAACAGATGGCAAAAAAATGGAAGACTCACACATTTAGTCAGCAGTTAGTTTCCAAAGACATTGTAGTGCTGCATTCACCAAGCAAGTAATAATTATAAATAAAAATGGGTTTATGTGACCCCCACAGAAATTTGAAAATGTTATAATATTGTCTATCACCAGCTATATATATGAAAACAAAACAAAAGTGACAACATGAAAATTTTCATTATTTTCAAGGCTGTGCTCTGAGAACAAACTGCAAGGAACCCAGTGCTCTGTACATGTTAAATCCAGGGTGCCCAGCATATAATTTAAGTGAAAGAACGGAGATTTTCAAGTTTTTCATGGGAGCAAAAGTTGCAGGCACCAGGGGCCACTGGGCTCTGCTGGAGCACAGCCCTGACTTTTTTTAGTGCTGGTGCAGCTAATCTGCTGAATTTTATTTGATGATATTTTCCTTTGTCATTTTAGTCTTACTGCTTAAAAGTCAAGGAGATGGATGATGAAGAGTATGCTTATGCAGTAAGTTCTAAATTCTAAATGTATACTCCCAGTATGAGTACTGGCAGTTGATAGATCCTAATGCGAGTAGCTCATGAGAATTGCATGACGTTTTACACCTATTTAATAGATATTTTTTTATTTTATTCGTGAACTAATGTAAGACACAAGGCTAGAAAAACAATAATGAAAGGGTGAGTGCAGCTAGGACCTCAAAGTCCAGGCTGAGTTGTTCAAAGGTTGATTCATGCCAATCCAGGATTGGGTACTGTTTAAAAAATGAGTTGGAGTGTATTATTAAATGTAGGTTTGCCAAGAGTTTTTAAACATGATAATACAGGACCGCAAGTTTTTGGAATGGCTTCAAAATCTCTGATATAGATCAACTCATTCTTGCACTAATGTTTATATTTGGGGTTATTTTGGTGTAAAAAATTGGATGTATTGTTAGCCGTGTCTCTGTCAGGTATAAAGACACTCATTAAACATTAATGTCTTTTGTTTTTTCTTTCTGAATAAATTATTAATTAGGTTTTGAATTATTATTAGTCATAACTTGTATGCTCTGTTTGTAGTTAACCAGGATTAAAGATTACAGCTTTAACTGGGCATGGGACAACTGGGGTCAGATGTATATATTTTCTAACATATCTGGTTTCTTTAAATTTCTCCAGGCACTGCATGAATCACTCTACAGAGTAGAGACTGGAAACTATGATTATAGGTATGATTTTGCTTTTTTAAGTATAACCCCACGCAAACACCGAAATGGACAAAAAAACATTGCCCATTATATAATTGTGGGAAGTTGGATGGGACGTAGTTACTTGTTTCTATCACTTACATCATCACTCATCATGGGTTGGGAGGGTTCAGTGGGCTCATAAATGGAATGATGTTGTTGCATGTTGTTGGGAGTTGCAAAAAAGCTATTAACGCAAGGACATTTGAAACTCAATCGAACATTTTTTAATTGCTGTATACAACTTGTTCTATCCCAACCTTTGCACGTTGTTTTGTTGTTGGGAGTTGTTACGCAAAGTTTGAAACCAGTCAAGCTTTTAAGCCTACAACTCCCTACATTTGTTTTGTTCTGTGATTGCCAAAGCATGAGCAACAATGTTGGATCCGTTTTCACGGCTCTTCCAACATTGTTACATGCATTACACGTGGCTTACAAAGTCTTATGGGTTGTATCCTTTCCTTGGTGCTTTCGGGTTTGTACATTGTTGGGAGTTGTTGCATCCGTTTCCCCACCACTACCAACAAGGATGCAACTGCTCCTAACATTGTTGGAAAAGTTCATGAGTGATTTTTTGACTCAAGGACAACAGCTCTCCTTGTAACTAACGAAACAAAAATTGAACTTACACTTGGGTATTGTTTGTTATTGTTTGCAATATTTATCACATAAAATACCCAACTTTGCATCAGTTGTAATGCTCCAAAAAGGAAAAAAAACGCATAAGGAAAGAACATGACAGAGCTTGTCAACCATGAGTCAAACGTGTGCAGAATATTTTACAAGCCACAAGATAAGCAGTGCTTAAGCACATTCATATTGGTAGAGCCTTACTGGTGATCAAACTGAAAAACTTTGTTTTTACTGAGACTTCACGTTTTGACCAATTAGAGGTAATATCAACTATCACATGTTCACTGAAATGATTTACATAGCTATTATGTTTTCATTTTATGTTTTAACTACTCACTACTTTCATTTGTTTTGCTAGAGTTGTGTTGCGTTGTCGTCAGTTAGCAAGAGAGAGATTTGCAAAGCTAAGGTCAGATGTCTTGGTTAAGCTTGAGCTTCTTGATCAAAAACATGGTACGTTTCTAAATTGGTTAACTTTACTCGTAACAAAAGGTGTGACCTGACACTGTGGTGGATGATTACATACATACTGTACATACTTTATGAACATGACTAACACTTAGCTATGAAGCTAGTTTACAGATCAGTCAAATTAATTATTACAGTACCTTAATAATTTATACCAAGCAACTGACTAGTCAGCGGTCCATTTTTACTTTACATCTTTCTTGTTAAAGCACCATTCACTGTAATGGTTTAACTCGTGAATTACTGAACAACTTAAGAGTTAAAGTGACGAGCAGGGACTTGGACGGTTGCATCATAATTGTCTGTCAATATTCCAGGGGATCATCAGGGAGGTTTTAGGTGGGCGTGTGCTACCAAGCACCCAAATTTGGACCCATTCGACATTAGAGATGAGGAGGGTACTGGATCGAGTTACCTTTTGCAAAGACGTTTGGGATTGTCACTAGGGACAGGGTAAAAAATTGTTTAATAGCTAACTGGCGCGTAACAGCGTAACGACACCAGAAATATTTGTAGGAGGCATTTTAGCTCCCACCAGTTTCCTTGTTGTTCCTAAAATGAAGAATGGAGGCTGAAGCTTTTTATATTCACCTCGTCCCTTTGTTCTTTTCTTTCCTCTGTAAACTAATACTGTCCATTATGAGTAATTTACGAGTTGCCTCACAGGAACCCTTGATTTTTGTTTTAATTTCCACAGTACAAGACATCGTTTTTCAACTGCAGCGATTTGTGTCAGCTGTTACAGAGTACCACGAGAATTCCTATTCAGTACTTAAGGAAGCCAATGTCTTCCCTATTGAGGTCGATTTAACAAGAGGAGCCCTTGGAAATACTTTAAAATAATTTAAGATGTTATGTCAAGACAAACTATGGCAATTAAGTCTGTACAACACTGTAGTGTCTCCAGGGGTTATAGTTCATTGGTTTGCCAATGGCATCTATGAATGGTTACCTCTGGTAACTGTGACATGTGCATGGGTTCTTCAGCAGGTCCCGTTTTTTCAAACATTTGGGATAGCGCTATCCACGGGATAAATCACTATCCAATGGCTAAGCGTTAGCCGAAACCAATTGCACTATCCACAGGATAAAGACTTATCTAGTGGATAGCTTGATCCAGAGTTTTAAACAACTGGGCCCTGCTTTTCTGGGGCTGGTTACATATAACTGAACCACTCGCATCTGGCATTAAAATAGGCTGAGTGTGAGGTGATAACAGTTATGGCTGACATAAGCAACTGGCTCCTGAATTACAGCTCCTATGGCCTAGGCTGGGTAGCAAGCGTGTCCGTGCTAGTGCGTTGTGAAAGTCCGAAAGAGAGCCAAAAAGGAAAGAAAAGAAATTTTTTTTTTTCAGTTTTGGCAAAGAACTCAAACAGAAATGATTGCTATGCGTATGCCTATGCGAAGACTAGCCTTGGTCATGGATTATCGCTCCCTTGAATGAGCGAGCTGACAAAGTTCGCGAGGAATCAACTAATTTCATGTAAATGTAAAGAATACATGGCAACCGCAACACTAAGTGGTTTTACAACAAAAATAATTTATTGGTGCTTTGAAGGAGCCTTAGTGGCTTAACCCTTAGGTTAATTAATCGACTACAGTACGTATTTCAAGGACGTAATCCAATACTTCTATTGTCAATTTAGCCCGGTGTCCGCTTAATAGAGGTTTTTAACAATAGAAATTAGCCACATACAATTTATTTTGGTTTCCGCGTCTCTTAATAGTACCCTGGGTGCCAGACACTTTTCTAGCGCGGTTTCCGGTTTCTGTCAAGTCTTTATAGTGACCTGCGCGAAAAGGTTTTCTCGCGGCTACGCCGCTCGTGGTTTCGGCCTACGGCCGAAGATGTGTCGGCCTTCGGCCAACACCGAAAATTCCCGCCGCAAGCCAGAAAAGCCTCTGGTACCCAGGGTAGCTTAATAGAGGTGTCCGCTGAATAGGGGTTCGTTATACAGGGAAATATAAGTGTCCATTTCGGGACGTTTCACTGTCCACTTATAGCCGTTGCGCCGCCTGTAATTTAACCTCGGCGTAACGTCTGATGTAATTTTACCTCTTGTTCTGGGCCCCCAACGGACTAAAACGAATTACCGGAAGTGCCTTTCAAATTTCGTATATCTTGATTGGCAAATCAACAATGGCATTCTTAACAGGCCAATCATGGCGCGCACTCAAATCTTGGTACACAAGTGGGGGCCCAGGACAAGGATTTGGGCAGCCTCGTACCCAGGCCAGTTCGCGCTATCCGAGTTACATGAGGAGGCTTGGAACCAAGCGCTATAGCGCGAGGCATCCTAGGCGAATTTTCCCGACAAGCTTGACAGGTGAACAGGTTAAATCACATCCCAAATCGCCGAGGATGACCTGGAACGACGGACTTAACCGGAGTTTAGTTTCGTCTGCGGCGTAGGCTGTATACTTATTAATAGCTGCGAAAATTAAATTGCACGAAATTTACTTTGCTATTATATACCGATATATATATTTTGTTTTAAGTAGTCGTCAAACTCTATCTGTCGGTTCCTCCTTGTATATAGCTCTCGCCTTGGCGGGTTTCATAAAATGAGGAAATAGCGAAATTCTTATGGTTTGGCTATTTTGTCCTTCCCAAATTGCGAAATACTCACAAAATACAGTATGCACTAAAATTAGAAAGAATGAGTAGTGCTTTGGCGTGACCGGTTAGTGTTTAATTTGAATCTTTAAAAATATCATAATAATCATTGTCATCTTTAAAATTTATTCGTGTCGAAACGTTGAAATTATTCTAAACATAGAAAAAAATCGGTTTTTTTTATTCAAAGCCTGGGTAACGTTGAATGGCGTAAATTGCCTAACAGTACTTTTAGCGTCTCATAGTCATGTAGTGTTTAAAGCCTCATTAACCTTTTGTTTGACTGTAACTTGAATACGCAAAAAACGGACTGTTTTGTATTCAATTGCATTCAAAAATATCGTCCGAAAATATCGTATTTAAACACTCATTAAATTAAGTAACATGAAAAGACTTGTGTATTCAATTGCATTCAAAAATATCGTCCGAAAATATCGAGTTAGGTACTTTATCTTTTGTGTTTTCTATGGTATTGTTTATATAACAGACGTCTATGATGGTCTTGCCTCGGTAGCAAGCGTTACCGCTTAATGTCGTTTTCATAACGAACTCGTTCGCAGCGAAGGCCATGACATGTTATCCTTGCCCCGTTTGCTCAAAAGTTGGATAGCGCTACCCAGCGGTTAAATATAAGGGAAGCCAATTGCGTTATCCAAAATCCCTATAATACCTTCCTATCGGCTGGATAGTGATTTATCGGGTTACTCTATCTAGCGTTTGAACAATCGCCGCCTAGACTGGTTTGTTCAAATGATGGAAAGCCTAGACTACGAGTAGTCCCCCATTTTTCCTCAGGGATAGTAGAGCGTGCGAAACACAACAAGCGCGCGTGAAAATCACCCCACGCAAGAAAAGGCCCTATCCGCCGAATAAATCACTATTCAGGGGATATAAAGTATCAGGAAAACTAACAAAAAGTGGATCCCGATTAGATTTTTTCTCTATTGATGTTAAGTAACACTTTCTTGGCTTCAACGAACAAAATCTCGTAGCCTGCGAAAACAATCGTTTCTCCTCCGGCTCTTCGCCGCTGGGGCGTTTCGCGCGGAGGAAACGTCCTTAAGCGGCAAAGAGCGAGGAGAAACGGATGTTTTCGCAGGCTAAAAATCTCGCAGCATTAGGAAAACCAACTGAGTTATTAACTGGATAGTTATTTATCCAGTGGATTTTGTTATCCACCTTATGAACACTGAACTGGGCACAGGGTTCTCGTAAGGAGACATTGCGACAATGAGCTTTCTTTTATATCTTAAAAAATGTAACCTAAGTTTTTCAGGTTTGTTCCTGATCCATGTCAATCTTCTTCATCCTAAACCATTCTTTTGTTACTTTTCTCTGGAGTTTTACTATTTTACCAAACTGATCAGTATTTCCACGTTTTCCTTTAACTTCAAGATATTCGCCTGTATATTAAAAATCATGAATCTAAATATCGTGACTAAGCTCCTTTAAATTTTCATTTGTTTTTGCGGTTACTGTGGCTGTTGAAATGGAGTCATCGAAACGTCGTGTTACTTTTTTATCGTTGATTTTTCTTTTAAAATGTTGTATAACACCTTTCTGATGTCTTATGTATATATGAGGTCATGGGAACATTGCAGTCTTGACTCCAAAAACTCACAAAGAAGAGTTTATCCTTAGAACAAAGTCAGATGTCATGTACAGTTGAACCTCCTGTTGGAGGCCAGCTATGACCACCTCCAGATCTTCACTTTCTTGTCAAGAGATCCTGAAACAATGATCTGTTTTGAAGGATGAGCATCACAGCACAACACAGGACCTGCGTGACCAGTAAGTTTCTTTACAACTTGGCCTGTATTAAGATCCCAGATTAATAGCTGATTGTCTTCTGATCCAGATATGATCCACTTGCCTTGAACAGTACCAAAACATGCCATAACACAATAATCCTTGTTTAGATGCCCTGTAAGTGCAGATGTATAACATCACTTTAGCCATAGTGGAGGTAGACGAAGAAGCCCTCACTCACTTTTCCCTTATACAGAATGTCAGAAGCAAGGGTGGCACATTTGGTTAGTGCGTGGGGTTCCAAGTTCGATACCCGCTGACATCACATCCTTGTTTCAACTTCTCTCCTTTCTGTGTAGCTTTGATGAGCTTTAAAAATCCTTAAAACGGAGCATTGATGGAGAGAGGAGGGTAAAACGAACGCACCATTGACCTCAATGTTATCAATTATTATTACTGTCACAAGTTATCGACATAAAAATTTGGTTGCTTTACCTTTTTTTTTACCTTTATACATGCGATATAGTGAAGGTACATAATCATGTTTTCACAACAAATAGAAGAAATATTCTCACTAGTATAATCTGAAATAATAAATCAAAAGATGACCCAAAGCATTCTTTTGGATTTTGAGGACTTCAATATCAAATGTAGGGTTCTAGGTGATAAAATTGGTTCTGTTTTTAACTATTATATTTTGAAAAATTAAATTGCCTTGGCTGAAAAGGCCAGTGTTGCCGTATTGTTGAATTTTGTTTTCTGTAAAATTCAATAACATCACATCCTGCTAATGATAACTGGCTGGTAATTACTGATGCTCTATAAGTAGTCCATAGGTTTAATTACCTTGATATTTTTTTATTAGTCTTCCTTGGCCTATCTTGTAGTCCTATAATCTTATGATGCTATCAAGGGTGGACATCAGCAGATATTTTCCATTGGGTGACAGCCGAGCATGTGATATTGGCAGTTGGGAATTTTCAGCGGATAAGATTGTTTTTAAGCAACACCCAGACAACACATCCCACACACAGCATTTGCCATCATAGCTGCAGGAAATGACAAGTGTTCCATCCGGATTAAACTGCACAGCAGTGATGGCCCCATTGTGACCAACCAATGTTTTGAGACAACACCCTGAAAGGTGACAATGCACAAGTTCATTTTGGAAAAAAAAGTGGATTTGTGCTACAGTATCTTGCTGACCTGTAATTTACTTCTATTTAATGCTGACATCAACTGGCTGTCTGGCTCTGTAGCCTCTATGGTTATTCCAGGCAGCCAGTGCTCTAATTTTATTTTCAATATTTTCATTATTGTAATTTTATTTTTAAGCAAGAGAGAGTAAGACTGTTGCCATTGTTGTTTTCTCCCTCTTACCATTGTCGCCCTCAAACCTTTTGTTAATTTTATTTTATTTCATTCATACACCAAGTGGGAGCCTCTGCAGAGGATATAGTTCTTATTGGCCATTTTCTTACTGGTGCAGATTTAGCCTCCTCTAATGTATTTCCCATAGTGTTTTAGCCTGAGAAAACAGTCTACATTTCGCAAAGCCAACACTAGTTTCCCCTTGAAATGACCTCTGAGGAACAAGTGCAGAAATTCCATACTGATGACGCAAATTATAGAGCTAAAAGCGAAGCTCCTGTTTCTGCATTTACTTCAGACAATGGAGATCAAACCATTGCAAAGAAATCCACAAATCTATACTTAACTTTAGTGGGGAACCATACAACCCGAAAAACATAAACTTGTTCCTGCGATCACTGTTATTATTAAGAACCAACAAATGGTCAGCAGAAAACTTCAAAAAGATGCGTAACCTCGATGAGTTGGCACCTGAGCCCACGGAACGGTCATGTGACACTGGTCAGCTGATACCTTGTTTTGACAGTTGTCAATTGACCATATTATGGATGTCTATTATCAAGTTAAATACACGTTACAGGCCCCCACACTAGCTAGAAAGGTTGACATTTCACATTGGTTTCCCATGGTGCGGAAGGATGGACGGACACACAGTCACATGATTACCAAAATTTCTCAGGTGGATAGATTACCAAATTTTCATAGGCATGTGGCTCGCGCATGCGTGTATCTCCACTATTACAACCCAAATCTGGGTAGTCATGTGTCATCAGTATGGAATTTCTGCACTCATTCCTCAGAATTAATTTAGCGGGGAAACCAGCGGTTGCTTCATGAAAAGTTGGCTATTTTCTCAGGCTAATAATGGTTTAATACATGGTCAGTCCACAGTCCAAAAAATTCATAATCCAAAATTCATCTTGGAAATCAAATTGATCGTGCAGGAAATACCCTTTTAACAGACTCACACGAACTTATATACCCTTTTTAGGACAGAGAGGTCAAAAAGCATGCCCTGTCCAGCGGCACATCCCCGCATAGGGCATATAAGGGAGTACCCCCTGTCGCCCCTTCCCCCACCGGGCCTCTATGCTATGAAAAATTTGCATGGACTTATTTAAAATAGCTTCCTCCCTTCATTTATCTTTTTCTTTTTACCTTCAGATATATCCCAGATCTTAATGCTTTCATCAAAAGATCCAGAAACAACCAAAGTTGTTTTGAAGTTAAAGCAGCAACAAAAAGCAAAGTCTTGATGACCAAGGAGGACTTTAACACAAGATTTAGTGGAGTAGTCCCAAATTCTAACACTGGTGTCATCTGAGGCCGAGACGAGAAAGCGACTTTCCGAATTCCAGCACACTTCAGACACTTCCAACTTGTGACCCTTCAACGTTGCCTCCAAATCTCCTGAGACGCTCCATATTTTAATAAGTTTGTCGGCGGACGAAGAAGCTATAAACTGTCCGTTCGGACTAAATTTGACGCACGAGACTCCTTTACGATGAGATGCAATTGATATTTCTTCTTCAATGTTAAATTTATCGCTACGTTCGGCCAGTTCATTGTTTTCATCCATGGTAATCAAGAACATCAGCAGCCGCCATTTTGCTACCAATTTTTCCCACCCTACCCTACAAGGTACAAACCAGTTTTGTCGCATGATCTCGAGGCTAGGACCAAGAAAGCAAAATGGCGGCCGTAGCGACCAAACCTCAACCAAGATACTGGACCTAAAAAAAATCCTTTGCAACGTCTGGTTTTTCATCAAAGTGATTTGTTTCAAATATTTTTATGCAATCTGAAAGCTGAGAAAAGAATTCCGGCTTTAAAATGGTAAGATGTGTCCTTTTATTTTCACTTTTAACGCTTTTTGTTGTGCATATAAATAAAAGCTTTAGCAACCAATAACAAATGTAAGCCTACCTTTATCATTTTAACAACTAGTCGTGCATTTACTTTGACTTTATATATATTATAATAAATGCTGTAATATATAGCTTTTTAACAAAGGTTTCTCTTGGAAGAAGGTCTTTTGAGTTACAAATCGTTTAAATGGGACCGAGATCATTGAAATTAAGCCGCGATTTTACACAGCTGCTGTATATAAACAGTACAATAATCTTTAACCCAAATTTTTGCAGATGCTTTCAAGGACCAAGCCGGCCGTGGGGCCAGGCTCTGGAAATACTGTGTCATCCGCCAAGGATTCGAAAAAGAAACGAAAGTTACCAAAAACGGAAGAATTCTTGCAGATGAGAGATTTCACTGGAGCAATCACTTTACTGGAAGTAAGCTTTATTAATGTTAACCTGGGAATACAGCCGTCTCTCCTCGGGTGGATAGAAAAATTATGAAAACTTTAGACCTAAGACCCAAAAATGAAGACTACCCTCAAAATCACTCGTAAATAGCTAGAAATGGCTTTCTCAACCTGAGATGTGTAAGAAACAACTTGACCTTCAATATTATAAATGAATTGACGTGGGACTTCGTTTTCTATAACCCCCTTCCCTCCAAATGTAGAAAAGAAAGACCCCTTCGAAATCACTCAAAAACAGCCTGAAATGGCTTATAGACATGAAAAATGTGTGAGAGACAAGATCTTGAGTTATCAATGAATTTGACCTGGGTCTTCGTTTTCTACAACCTACCCCCCTCCAAATCACTTGATATGGGCTTGAAATGGCTTCTAGACCTGAGAAATGTGTAAGAGACAACAAGATCTTCGATTAACAATGAATTTGACCAGTGTCTTTGTTTTCTATCCCCCGCTGCCCCCAAATGTAGAATACAAAGGCCTCCCTTAAAATTACTTAAAACGGCTTGAAACATATACTTTTTGTCATAAATTTGTGTGTGTTTTTTTTATTAATAATGAATCAGTTTTAGTCTTGTTTCTGCATCATTCATGTTCCCTTGTCTTAAATTCATCCTAAAAAACATGTCGATATACAAAACAAAGCAAAGTAACGCCATTATTTTATGATGGACTTGACTGAACAACAACATGCTGCTGAATTAAATTATTGTGTATTTTCTGCTTTAGTTTAACAGAAACTCTGGGAAGGCCAGTGAGGAGACAAATCTTTGGATTGCATACACCGCCTTTCATTTGGGAGACTATAAAAAAGCAATGGAGGTAACTGGAAAAAAAATTAATATTAATTTTATATAATGGTGACAAGTTTTTTTTATAGAAATAAGAAAAAAAGGTGGGAGATTTTTGAATGAAATGATTTCAGTTATTGTTTGTTTACTGATCTGAACAGTATGTGTGCCTGCACTCTAATCTTTGACCTTTCAATTCCAAGCTAATGAGCTTATTTATATGTTAAATATTAGGCACACTCTGTTTGCCTTATAATTCAGTAAGATCAATTGTCTAGTTATATGCCCGAAGAAACTTCATTTCAGCATCTTTTCACAGCTCTCCAATCACATTGGATGACAGTGCTGTCATGTTATTGTGTTTTCATTCATTGACCATTTAGTCATTTCATACTCAATGCCTGTGTAATCAGGGTTTCTATAATCTCTTTCTTCCAGCCACTAGTATTTGTGCCAGGTTATTAGAACATTGCCATAATTTGTGAAAAAGATCATAAATATTACTACGCTGTAGTGCTAAACTTCCTATTAATATGCTGTTTGTGCCACAGCCATAGCCACCAAAGTTTCTGAACTTAGCTGGAATTGGCTAGCATTTTCTTTGCTAACATAACGATAAAAAAAATTATGATATACAGTATCACATAAAAGATTACACTTTATAACAGCATACACCACATGTATCCTCTTGGTTACAAATAATTGAATCACAGTGATTAAAAGTGAGCAAATATATTTTTTCATATATGTTTTTATAATCCCTGATTGAAATGATTGTTGTTGTTGCCTTTCAGGAATACTTGGCACTGACAAAAAGTGAAGCTTGTCATCCAGATGTTTGGGTGAATTTGGCTTGTTGCTACTTCTTTCTTGGAATGTACAAAGAGGGTGATGAAGTTGCCGAGAAAGGTTGGTGTTAAGCGCATTTACATGTCAGGCCTCGAAAGAAAAACTTCAATGCCAGCTTGTCCTTTGTGCAAGCAGCTCTCATGTTTTGCTTGCTCAGGGCCACTTCTTGCTCTTCTTAGTTAATGATATTATAACAGGATGATTTGCCTGGACCCTTACCCATTGGGCTTAAGTAAGCTTTACAGGTAGAAAGAAGAAGTGTGACATCACATTACCATGGTAGCAAAATTTCTGTATCACAACAATACGAAGCTTAAGCAACAATGACGGTGAAGGTAACAAAAACGGCGAAAAAGCAATAGGTTTCTATGAACAAAACATGATCTTTGCATGTGTATCGAGCTTTTTTGTACATTTCTTAGCTGTGGTTGCTTTATGGAGTAGGTGAACACAACACACAAATTTTTGTTCTCTTTTTCTAATGCTTTGATACAGTCCTTTCGGATTTAAGCCCAGAAAATGTCTCGAACATTTGGCAAATGAAATGAAATGAAATTAGATTGGTTAAGTTTGAAACAGTGTGAATTCACTTTTCAAGTCACGTTTTCGGTTTTTTGTCATCCAGAAGTTTTGCTACCGTGGCAACATGATGTAATGACTTCTCTTCTCTATTACTTGCCCAACAAGAAAATCTATTTGTCCCAGATTACTAGATGGGACTCTTTTGGAGCCATGCATGTGCACCTGTTAGGAGTGGCAAATTACACCCATAAAATAAACGTACTAAATTTGGGTCTTGGAAACATTTCATCCAGTCTCATAATCTTGGAACCTTAGTTTGTGGTGATTTGAATTTTCAACTTCAACTTTATTTAAATTTCAACTAAATAAATAATACTAAATTTTTATCTACAACAGGTCCAAAGAGCAGACTTCAAAACCGACTTCTATTTCACCTCTCTCACAAGGTAACAATAATCAAGGGGAGGTGCATTGGGTGGCTATTCAGCACCCTCCTTTCTGGCTAACAAGTCATGTTTGTTAAAACAGTTTAATAGGCAATTACCTTCCATGTTATATGTGATATCATGTGCTGCCAGTGAGAGTACACAATTTTAAGGTTCTGTAGTAAATGTAAATATTTTAACGTAAATATTTCTGCTATTTTGTGACATTGTTTGAATTTGTGATTTGATAGAGAATTCTGACTTTGTAAAAATAAATTGTTTAATTTTTCAAACATCAGTATTGATTTAGCATCGGTATACTATGTACATATTTTTAGAACAATTAAATCATCTTCTGTTCTTAAATTCACCAGTTTAATGATGAGAAGAGACTCATGGGTCACCATCAGGCATTGCAAGATATTATTGAGGATCAGGTAGGAATGGCAAAAGTCTTTAAAATTATTGAACATTTTAAAACTGAGGCTTGAGATTTTGCACTCATTACATAAATTCTTCTGACCTATTATTAAAGTTGCTTTCCTTTACACCTGTGTTGGCTGGTTTTTCTAGTTGAGTTTGGCTTCAATCCACTATCTCAGAAGTCACTATCAAGAGGCTATTGATATTTACAAGAGGATTCTGCTTGACAACAGGTATCCAAATTATTATGAGTTTTATTTTATTTTACTATTGATTCTGTTGACATATTATTGTCATAAACAAACAAATCATGTATTAAATGAAGAGAAGATCATCGTAGTTGGACCCCTGACTGCTGTGATATCGGTGTGGAGTGCTGCACCGGTATCGCAGAGGTCAGGGTTTAGTTCAAATATATGAAATTCATAATATTATATTCATCATTTCAAATAATTATTTTTATTACTATTGATCTGGCCAATCAACCCTGGATCTTAATAGCTACAGCTGTAAAAATTATTAAACACCAGCTCACATATTAATTTTCATAAAAAGTATTGTTTCAGAATATATAAATGAGATTTGCATTTAATAATTATGTGATCACATTTTATTGAATTGCAGAGATTACCTGGCTCTAAATGTTTATGTTGCTCTGTGTTACTACAAGCTGGATTACTATGATGTATCCCAGGTAAGTAAGGGACTGTGTTCTGTGAAAAAAATACGTTGTATGGAGCCCAACCTTTTTTTAAGAATTTATCCTTGACACTGAAAAAGAAAAGTAAAAAATAGTGTTAAGAAGTCTTTTCTTAAAGGCCCTCTGCCAAGTTACGTTTCCTTCCTTGGACATTAGGCGGGTGTAGCAAAAAAAAAATGGGACGGCAGTTAAGAGGATCTGTGCAAATGAAAAAGCCCTCTTGACCATAATGGCAGAGTGGCAAATTGGGCACCAGAAGTCGCATCCAGCCCTTTCCGCATGCTTTTTTGTTGTCAACTGTGTTCCCGTTCTGTTGCTATAAAATCACTCTTTGTGCATGACATGATGTGACATTAATTTTTATTGTATTGTTAACTGTTCTAGCATGCGCCCTTCACCACCCCTACCCCCATTAAAACAAGAACAAAAAAGTTACTGTACAAGGTTCTTAAAATGACTCTACAGTATGATTTTTATCGATGTATTTATTTTTTTTGCTTTTAGGAAGTCTTAGCAGTGTATTTACAACACTATCCTGACAGGTAACGCCAAGAAAATGGACAGCAGTATTTATTAGTAGATTAAAATTCTCAATACAAATCAAACTAGTTTGATATTTAAACCTAGCAGGGAATATTTTATGTTAACTGCCTCTCTCTTCTTATATTTTAGTGCAATTGCTGTAAACTTAAAGGCCTGTAATCACTTTAGACTGTACAATGGAAAAGCTGCAGAGGTGAGACTTTGAATTTTTCCATACATTACCAACACTATAATGTTACCAGAGCTTGGTTTCAGACATACTGGTAGTACATATACCATTATTGAAGTCCAATGCCTGATGTTGTCAGAGATTATTTTAGCTACTTTAATTTTCTAGATAATTTGTATCATATCCCCATGTACAGTGTACTATTACTAAAACTAAGAAAGAGCTCTTTGTGTTAAACTCTCAGCATGGTACTAAATAAATATACATACAGTACTGTTCAAAAGTAAGTTGACACTCGATTCTCAATCCTCGCGAGAATCGAGACTCGATTCTCGATTGTTGCGTCTCGACTCTCGATTCTCGATTCCTGCGAGACTCATTAAACCAGAACGGCCTTTGTTTATAATCGATTGAAAGGGTTTTGTTTCCAGTAATTTGCTCTCTACTCTTGATACTTGATTGCTGCGAGATTCTACAACCTTTGTTCAAGTTTTGAGTATCTTTTAACTTCTCTCATGTCACAAAAACCTTCTCCTCCATAAAATAACAAACTCAATTGATTCTTGCAAGAAATTCCTGAACTATGCAAATTATACAGTAGCAGTTGACATTTGCATATGCTTGCACTGCTCGGGTGTACTTGCAGTATTGAATCCACATAATCTTTGATCCATTTTATTTTTCTCCTCAGGCTGAACTTAAGACTCTTCAGGAGACAGCAAGTCCATCATTCAGCTTTGCAAATGATCTTATTAAACACAATTTGGTAAGAATGGCTAAATTTGCAACTTTTTGTCCATTGCTTGAAGCTTGTAAAGTTTAGGGCTGGTGTTCTTCAATTACTGGTTATTTTTTGTAACACATGTTGAAATTGGCTTTTATGTAATCTTTATTATTTTTTTGGTTTGGAAGTGTAGACATTTACGGGTATACTTTGTTTCTAAAGGAAAACTGTCCGGACTCGTATTAATTGACAGGTGGTAGAATATCATTTTTCAGAAACAGGGAACTGGTTTGAACTTAGTGTCATGAGAGAAAAGGAGTGCAAGGCAGAGAACCAACAACAAACTCAACCCACATATGGCTTTGACACTGGGATTTGAACCCAGGCCGCATTGGTTGAAGGCGAGTGCTCTCACCTCTGCACCACCCGTGCTCCCCCTAGATCTCTCTCTTCTGTAATGTTCCCTACCTCCTAACATATGTGTCCTTGACAGGTTGTCTTCAGGGGTGGAGAGGGAGCCTTGCAAGTTTTACCACCATTGGTTGATGTCATTCCAGAAGCTCGTTTGAATCTGGTAAGTGTGCCACCTTTATATTAGAGGCTTTTCTAAATTACTGAATCAAATTTAATTTCTTGTACAATCCCTTGTATAGTTCCTTTGTTGATTTAAAATGCTTGATTTTTCCATCCTCTCCACTGTTGTGAGAATGCTAACTTTATCTGGTGCCTTGTCAGGTTTCTTGTGTATTCCCCATTTTTTTACATGGAAGAGGTCATATTTTTGCACTCACAGTTGCTTGAATTTAGCTGAAACAAATTTTTTTCCTTTCTTGAGAGTTTAAGTCAGAAACAATTTTAAAGCGATTAATGATGACTATGTTACTCCTAGCTTAAATACAAGTTTTTGTTTTCAAGATCAGCTCTTGATCACCCATAACTTCTACTTCTGAAGTACTTTTTTTGTTTACAGGTTATCTATTACTTAAGGCAAGGTAATGGAGATATTGAAATTTAATTTCACTGTTGGAGTTATTAATATTTTGATATTAAATCTGAGGGTTGGTTATTGAACAGAGCCTAACTTGGGCTGTGCTTCAAGGCAGTCGACTGACCTCAAGATTTGTTTTTGAATGATTTATTCTTAGTTGTTACATGTGTTTTAGTCTGCCGTTATGCCTTCTTGACGCTGTTAACAGTAAGCAAAGTTTAGATGTGAGGGTTGGCCAAAATGAAAATAGTTGAGAACACCATTTTGCTAACTCTGGCTTTTTTAATAACCAGCACCAAACATTTGGATGAAGATAACAACTTTAAATACTTGGGAATTCTATGAGATAACAATACTATGAAAGTTTTATTGAATATTTGCTTTTTACTTTCCAGATGATGTTGTGGAAGCATATAATCTGATCAAAGATCTAGAACCTACAACTCCACAGGTAACCTACGTACAATTGGACTAGGGTTTTGATTGTTCTGTTATTGCAAAAACAGTAGCGTGAGATACACTGTGGAAGCAAAACCACTATAAGCTGTATAAGATCTGTTCTCAGGTTAAACCAGAAGTTCCTTTGTCTCTTATGAATAAGTAGATTAGAGCTGGAAAAATTAAGGAAATTCTGAATCAAACTAGACTGAGAAGTCAGATATAACCTGAGAAAGGATTTCATCTACAACATAATTTATCATACCCTATCAGTATCTGTGGAAAACTGTATATTATACTTACACTGTAATTTTGTGCCTTGCAGGAGTACATCCTTAAGGGTGTGGTCAATGCTGCCTTAGGACAGGAACAGGGATCGGTACGTCAGTATTTTGAAGACTAGGAGAGGTTTGACTCTGACTTGTTTTCAGAAACTTTCTGAGTTTTTGTTAACCTGGTCGAGCGAGTACGTTTGATTTAAGATATATTGCACATCATTACGTGTGCAAAAAACAGATGTTAAATTGATGTTCCAAACGTATCGCGGGACTTAAGCGCACGAGAGAGATTTGAGGAACTCTAGAATGGGCCATGTGGTTATTTCAGGCGTTCGAAACTTTGGTTGACAATTAGGTTCTAGGAAAAGATGCTAATTTTGAAAACTTGCCTAGTTTCCAGCAATTTTGATATTGCTAAAGAGCCTGTGATGAATGATCTTGTGGACGTAGCATGCAACCTTGAATTTACGGTCAAAAAGAGAGACAGCTTTTTTGTTTCACAATGCAAGTCTTCAGTTTTTCTTTTCTTTTCTTTTCGTTTTTCTTCTCTTTTTTTTTCTTTGGTCAAAGAACTGATGATATACAAAATTGCAGTTCTTTTTTTGCTTTTACGTTTACATTCATTCAAAAAATTCAATGAAAGAGAATTGTAACTATGGAACATCTGTCCTTGATTGAGTTGATTACTTATGAAGAGCATTGTTTTAACGTTGCTTTCATCTTTCTGTCTTTTAGAGAGAACATTTAAAGATAGCTCAGCAGTACTTTCAGCTTGTAGGTGGATCAGCAAGTGAATGCGGTGAGTTTGTGCACAATGTAACCGGGTTAGTGGCGCGAAAACCACATAATCTGTTTGGTTATTTTCCACAATGCCCGGAATTCGAGCTTTTTGCTAAGTGATGTGCGCGAGAGGGGAGCACTCACGTGCGTCTTCCTCCCTCACGGTCAGCGCTGCTGTTCTTATTTGCGCTCTAAAATTTCTCGCGTGTGCCTATCCTGCGAGCATTAGAAATTATTGGGGCGAGTGATAATGATAAGAAGTCGTCCTAAAACCAGTTAATTTTTCGTAACTCCTGTACTGTACAGCGTACTACATTATCGGACAATGATTTACCTTAATTTATTTTTTACTTATCCTAGATACTATTCCGGGGAGGCAGTGTATGGCATCTTGTTTTTTTCTCTTAAAACAGTTTGAAGACGTTCTCATTTATCTGAATTCCATTAAGGTGAGATTAAAACAGCAATTCCTTTTTACAGACATGTATTTTTAGAGGCTTATATACTTTGATGGTAATAAGGTCGTCGGCACCAAGTGTTTTGGAGTAGATATTTGTATCGATAATGCCTTGCAGCGAGCAAAGTTCGATTTATGAACGTCGTGCTGCCGTCGCGCCGAACGCAATTCAATGGGCCATTTCCGAGTGGCCCCAATCCTCTGTATCAAATCAGGCTGAGTGCGAGGTTACTGATATCAAAACGACTTTTCATTCTCATGCACACAAAACTCATTTTCACATGAAAGGTTTTGCACTTAGGGCAAAGCGAGAGTTTTTGGAACTTGGAAATGGCCTATTTAATAAGGCATCGTGAATAATAAATACCGTGCAAATACGTCATAGAAGTTGGCTAATACACGGTTCCTTTGCGAAGGTTTGAAATGCGACGTTCGAACCCAACTCGTCCTTCTGTAGTGCCCATGCGAGCCAGCTTTGCACGATTCTGGTAATAAGGAGACCCCGTATCCCAACTCGTAATCGTAAACGATGATTGTATGCTCGGACTTGGAAACGTTTTATAATTGAGCTTTGATAAGTTTCTTTGGTTTTACGGTCTACCTTGTTCAAAACATGGGTACTGATACGACTTACAGTCAGACAGACAGGCAGACAGACAGACAGGCAGACAGACAGGCAGACAGACAGACAGGCAGACAGACAGGCAGACAGACAGACAGGCAGACAGACAGACTGCCTTAAAGACTAACTTTCTAATGCCTTATTTTAGTTTTCAGCTAATTATGCAGTGTAGATACCAGACACTTTCCGACTATTATCTCATTTTTAATCGCAGAGTTACTTTTACAATGACGACACGTTCAATTTTAACTACGCTCAAGCCAAGGCGGCTGTTGGAAATTTCAAAGAAGCAGAAGAGGTTCGTAAAATATCGTTAATTCTTCGCGTAAAGCTCTGGACCTAGTGAAACCGTTTTCAACGCATTATTTGAGGTGCTTGTTGTACACACTGATCGCAGGCTACGTTCCAGTTAGTACGAATGATCAGTGTACATATGCTTATGAAGTTAGTTAATAAAGCCAGGTTTTTTTTCAGTAGTGTATGAGCATGCGGTTTTTACCAAAAGAAGTTACATTTGACCTAGGCTTTATTATACTACTCGATAAAATTCTTTTCACAGATGATAGCGACTTCTATTTTGTGACGAGGCCTTATTTGTTTTTAGATCTTTCTGCTAATCCAGTCGGAGAAGATAAAGAATGATTACACATACCTTAGCTGGCTGGCGCGATGCTGTAAGTATACGCTTCGTTACCAACGAAGACGACACTTGGGGCCCGCTCTTTTGGCATACGAGTGTACTAGGTAGCGGTAATTGTATTCATGATTTGCGACCTATCTTGTTCTCCCGTTTATGGGTTGATCGGGGTGGCATCCGGCTCATTTTCCATGGGACTGGTACGTACTTAATAAATGCCGGCGTTCTTTCAGAAGAAAAGTAGCCTGTTCCAGGCCTTCGGACAGTGGACAGTGATGCGAAATGGAGATCGGAAAAAATGCGGAGAAGAGGGAGAGTTTTTGTCCCGCTCGCCACTCTGTTCACCATACCTCCTATCCTGAAGGCCTGGAACTAGCGACATGAAAATAACCATGCCTAGTCCTGTTGGCACACCTTTTTCGCTTAACCATTGAGCTTGTCAAGTCCTTGTACGGCGTCTTCTCAGGCCCTTTAGGTCAATGCATTTCGGTGACGTAGCCAAACATACTCGCTGAGACTACGTGACTCGAAACGCATAGGCCGCGCGAAATTACGACTCGTAGAAACTAAACAAAAATCAAAGGACCCCATGGGACTGTCAGCTCGTGAATGCAAATTACATGTTATGGGATAGAAAAATTATTGGCTTTCAATTTTTTTTTCTTTGCATGCGAACTTTTGGGGTCAACGTCGTTATAAGAACCTGTGAAGGTTTTTTTTGTATTGTCGCTGTTATTTTTCTGATGTCTATTGTATTGACGTCTTTGTTTACGTTGTTTTACGTCACTCGTGTGTAGTTCAAGGGTTTTATACTCCGAGATGAGACTGTCCTTCAAGGATTAATTTAACGCGCGATGGAACGCACGAACTCGATAGAATAGATCTTTTCATTAATTTGTAAAATCAAAACGCCGTTGACTTCTCAATTTTTACTCACATCTTATTGAAAATGACTTGTAAATAAATCTTTGCATAAGTTTCCAGCCTCGTGGCATTTTTCGTTTTCAAAATACTAAAGCATTTTGAATTCCCGAATTTTTTTAAGTGCGTGACATCGAGAGTCCGCGACATCTGATGTCTTCTTCTTGAAATAAACTGAGAAAGAAAAGGGTTTACATAATTATCAGTTTTTCCTCTTGCGGTCCTTCAACGTCTGATGGAATTGACGAACGCACGATGGAACACACGTACACAATTAAATACAACGCACGTGATCTGTAAAGTCAACTCATTTCCAGTCCATTTCGGAAAAAAGATCCATCGAGTGACGTCGGTCCCCACTAACCGCTATGCCTCGGACTCTATGCCTCGTTCATTTGCGCTTCGCGCATTCACGAGTTAAAAAAGCGTGCGTGTAGCCGTACCCTCCCGTGTTAGAAAAAAGACGGCACTCCGTGTGCAAAGGTCTGTTGCTGTTGGTTATGTAGGGGTTGGTTGGGGGGAGTGGGGATGGTGGGACGGAGTGCAGTGAAACACAAAAATTCGGGGATCATCAAGGGAGTTGGCCACAGGAAGGATTCACAGGATGGTGTTGCAAGTGTTAGCCCATCATCAGCCTTCTTATCCCTCTCGTCTCCTTCTTGTACTCAGTCTAGGAAGTTTACTGTAGGAACTGAAGACTTGCGTCTTTAAGGAAGGGACTTATTTACTTTTGTTGGCTGTTTTGCAGACATCATGAATCATAAGCCGCGTCTTGCGTGGGAGCTGTACCTCAAGATGGAGACATCCGGTGAATCATTCAGTTTGTTGCAGCTTATTGCTAACGACTGCTACAAGGTTGGTAGGCTCTTTTCGGACGAACACTGGCAACTACCTTAGTATTCTAATGCGCCTTTTTAGCGAGCTGACAACGACTTCCTTGAACACGCCGATACGAACTCGCGTTTTGTGGTGGGTTTTTCTATCCAGGCAGCCATTGTTTAACGCGTTGACAGCAGCTCAGCTATAGGGCCGGAAAATACCAAATGAAGCATTAAATAGGTTCTTGATTTAAAGAGCTTTTCAAGGGTCTATCAGTGAAGAAGACAATTCGATGAACAAGTCATAATCCAAAGAAGTACATTAGCTGGTTTGAAAAGCGGGAGGTCATATTCCAAGTGGCAGAAGTCTTTATTCTTAACCAATCCCAGCGTAGTGGAACAAAACCCCACCAACTGCAAAACCTTATTAATCAGTCGAAATGTGTCGTATATTACAGATGGGTCAGTTCTATTATGCTGCGAAAGCGTTTGACGTACTGGAGAGACTGGATCCCAATCCAGAGTATTGGGAAGGAAAAAGAGGAGCTTGTGTTGGAATATTTCAGCAGATCATTGCTGGCCACGAACCAAGGTAAGACACCCAATTGAACCTGACTTGACCCTCTTCATTGAAAAGTTGGAAGAGGGCCGGTGACAAGTCAAGACCTTCTGATGTGAGCTTAAGCCCTACACCATTCACAGTGTGTAAAGTAATTAATGCAAATTAATAACGAGCACAGGTGACCAACCTTTTTCGTCGGTCTACATAATATCACTGCTATGCATAAGTTATGCACCTAAATGATTTCATATTTAGAGCCTCTGGGCTCGGTCTGATTATTCAAAGAGCTCATACAAGGTACTAGGGAAGAGAAAATAAGATCATAGTATAGTCGTGTTAATCAGGATTGTTCATGTGGCCCCGGTTGTTCATAAGGTGGACAGCGTTATCCACCGGATAAATCTCTATCCACTGCATAACGCTATTGCTTTTATTAATACTAATCCGTTGGATAGTGATATATCCAGTGGATAGCTTTATCCAATGTTTGAACAACTGGGGCCAGCTCAATAAGAGAAAGTTGCAGACGCTTAAATATCCCTCATGCAGTTTCTATAAAAAAGCTGAGGTAAAAAGGTAAAGAGTCTTCTAAATTTTACGTCAGTAGCTCGAAATAGTCTTCACCTGACTAACACTATTCTCTCCATCAGTGCTCCGTTTTACTGAGTATATAAAGCTACTTAAAGCTACACGGAAAGGAAAGAAGTCGAAACAAGGATATGAGGTCACACCTGGAAATAGAACTCGGGGCTTGTGTGCCAATCCTTACTCCTAAATATATATCTAGCCGATTTTTTGAAAACCAACCTAACGAAATTTGCCGTCATATGAGTGAAAAGGCGTCAAAATCTGATCACGCGTGTTTTGACGTATCTCTCACGTTAAACTTACGCAAAGGACACTTGCACAGTGATGGAGCAAAAGCGTTTTGGCCTTCGATCGTTGTCGCCCGCACTCCGTAACCTTTGGTTGTTACTATTTTTAATGGCTTCTTTGGAGATAGTTTTTGGCCGGAAAAAAACTGTAGGACACAAAAGGTCCACTTGGCGGTAACGTTTTCAAAAATCCGGCTAGATATACTTTATACTCTGGGTGGTGTTTTATTCTCCCACTTCCATTCGGAATGCCTGTATTCGTTCATCTTCTTTGAAACCTTATTGATTTTCGTTACCTTTTCATTACCTGTTAATTGCAGGGAGACATTACGCGACGTTCTGCAGATCCTTCGTAACACAGGAAATCCTCAAGTAGAGTACATCATACGTACAATGAAGAAATGGGCCAAAGAAAACAGGATACCAGTGTCATAATTTTACTTTCCTCTCTCTCCCGAACATTACAATAAGAAAAAAAAAACACTTGTAAATTTTAATAGCATAACATTCGATGCTTTGTTTTTTACTCCATTGTGCTGCTGCATCGTCAGTTTGTAAATGTTGTTAGAGTGAGGGCTCTTTCGTTCGATGCTCCATTGTTATTAGAAGTTCTCATTGATAAGTTCCAAAATCCTCAGTGTATTCTTAAAATGAGTGCTCTTGCCATCTACGTAACATTATTTTAAACAATGTTAACAAAGATGCTGTATACTAGTCATAATTTATTGCGCTCAAGCGTCTGGACGACTTCCGATTGTATAGACAACCATACACAGCTCCATTTTGCATATATGCTTCTGACATTATTTATAAAAGGCATAAAGCATAAAATGTAAACAGACCAATATTGTCTTGATGTAACTGTGAAATTGTAGAAAGAGGCTGGAAATCAGAACAGTTCGTTCGTAAACCCTGCTGAGGCCAAACCAACAAATTTCTGAAGCTCTTTTTGACCAGAAGTCCTGTAAATAAATATTGTGATGATCTACCCACTCTGATTAGTAAATATTAAATGATGTATGTTAACAAACTTTGATGTCACAATTGTCATATTGCAATAATCGCTGTCCTATCAGAGAAGGCGACTAAGCGAAACAACTGGGACACACCCAGTAATCGTTTGCGTCGCAGACGAAGTGATGCTTTCCGCGCCTCTAGTTTGCTTGGAGACGTCTTGCATTTCCTTTTCTTTCCTTTTCCGCGTTAAGATGCCGCGCTTGGTCCTCTCTCTTCCGCAGAGCCTTTTCTGTGCAGTTGGAAAGCTGGGGAGAAGGAAATGCGGGCGCGGGGGGAGGGAGGTGGGAGAGGGGGAGGGTTGGTGAGGCGCGCACGCGGATTCTGCGGTCGCGACGCCACCACTGGTTTCCCTGTGAAATGACGTCGTCATTTCGCGGGGAAGCCGTTGGTGGCGTAGCGAAATGTCGCCTGGTTTCTCAGGCCACGGAGAGTAGCGACACTAGAGCCAGAAATCCGTTGTGTTCACAGGCTACATACCCCTACGGAGGATAGAGCCCACTTTTGAATTCGCTCGGAAGATAAGAAGTTTTTGTCAGTTCTTGCAGTCTAAAACTATTAAAATTGAACCCGTCATATAGCTATCCATTGGAATTAAGAGCGAGGATAAGCGAGGGAGGGGTGGGAGAAGGAGGTTGGTGGACTGGAATTGGTGGCACTAACCGCTTCTGCGTTTTGCGCTCACTCGCAATTAGTTTGACTGGAGCTGAGCTTTATTTTTCTGTGCAACCTGCGAAAGGCTGCCTTATAAATGGTTTCAACCTCAACCTCCTTCTCAGAGTATATCTTTCCCTGAAATTATGGTAAAGAAAACAGCAAAGGAAAATGCTACTCCAGTTCTTCCAATATCCTCTTTCTCCCCCTCTTAGCAGGGGAAGAAGAGAAACGCCCGGAACTAAGCTGGCAAGCGGATTGAAAAACACCTGGGCCGAGTTGTTCAAAGCTGGGTTAAGATAACCCAGGGTTAGTGCGAGATTTGAATTCGGATTTGAAAGCTTAAAAAGCATTTCAGTTTTAATTCTTTCTGTCTACATGTTGATGATTGGAAGCCGACATGACAGAGAAAATTATCCTAGAAAATACTTTTGAACACAAGAAAAAGAAACGCGGATTTAACCCCGGTTTAAGCGCTAATCGGCCCGAACAACTGCAACATCTTTTAACAAGAGGTGGTTGCTATACTATACGAGCAGTCTCTCTTTTTTCTTGGTCCGTCGACCAAAACGCCCGAGAGACGCAAATGACCACGCGCGTTACTGAAGGCGCGAGACAGGAGAGGCACGACAAAAGTTTTTCTTCTCGGGCTGCCGCCCTCCTTTCTCGCGTCTCCGGGCTTCGCCGCTCAACGCCCGCGCGCGTGCACTCCCCTTACTAAATCTGAAAAAGAGAGACTGCTCGCAGTCATACTACATAATGTTCTACTGTAGCTTTGTTGTTTGAGGTCGTCGTAGCAGCCTGAGAACATGCCCTCTCCCTATTATCCCTTTATGTCTCTCTCGCCTCGTTCACTTATAAAACAAAAAACAAAACAAAAAAACTCCTGATCGCAGGTTAAGGTCGTCGCGGTCGAGCACATGCAATTTCGATAGACGTTTACACAGCGTCCCTACCAGTCCGCTGTGTTACCGCGTGTTCAGTGTTCTTTTTTTCGCGGTTTTTCGAACAACAAGGCCATATTTCTGAGGTTCAGAACCTCGTTTTTTCCTCTCATTTTCTGTCGTACAGACTATGGCCCACAACTACGTTGTAACAGCACATAAACCAACTGCCGTTAATGCAGCTGTGGTTGGTAATTTTACCGCTGCGGATGACTTGAATTTAATCATAGCCAAAAACACTCGCCTTGAAATCCATGTTGTCACCCCAGAGGGTCTGCGACCTCATCTCGATATCGGGATTTATGGACGAATTTCTGTTATGGAGCTTTTTAGACCAGCGGTAAGTTTCACTGTTTTGCTTTATTACGTCTGTGTTTTTGTGCTTGTTTGTTGGTTTTGATTTGTCAGTTAGGTGGTTGACGGATATTAATGAATATTGCTTAACCCTTTCCACTCTGTTTTGCTGAAAAGAAACGAAAAACAAATCCCAAAGGGTTCTTTCTAAAGCTTTCAATATTATGTGCTGTACACATATTATTTGTACTGAGCCAAGACCGAGTGACCTATGGTTCCAGCAGCTTAATGACTACCAAGGGTAAAGATTGGAAAAAAATATATAATGATATGTCATCTTTTTTGCCCACTGTCTTTAAGGTGCTTCACGGAATGTTTCTATAACTTTTTCATAAAGCAACCGTGTTGTAAATGCATTATGTGTGAAAGGTGGTGGTGCGGGGGAGGGAAGGGGGAGGGGGCCTTGGCATGTGCTGAACACTTAAATGCGATGAATCATTTGCTACAGTCTAGTACTGTGTTTAAAATCCACCCAAATGCAAAAATACTGCATCCTGCACATTTGAAAATACTGCAGTGCTGGAATTCGCCAAAAAATGGGTGTTAAATAGTCCAAATCTCCGCCATGCAGTAGAACACCAGTAACTTCAACTTTCATGAGATAAAATTAATTCAAGGCAATAATGATTGGTAAGGAATTTCAAGTAGGCAGTATTTAGGCAATGCCGTGCACCTTTGTGAAGTTCCAAAAAAAAAAAGCCATTGTTCCTTTTAGAACTAGGAGTAATCGGAGCTTAGAAGAGTGTGTTCGATATGTTTGTAAGAAGTACAGGTGGCAGTTGAGGAGGAAGGGTGGATGGTTATTGCAATAGATTAAGCCCAGCTTCCAAATGAGCACTATGATCGCTGTGATCGCTGCAATGGCTGAGAAAAAAAAAATTCAGCGATCTCAGCAACAACGATCGCTGAGATAGAACTTTTTATATCTCAGCGATTGTTGTCGCTGCAATCGCTGGAGAGTGGTTTCATATGATCGCCAAGATCGCTGCGATCGCTGAAGTTTTTCTTTTTTCCTCAGTGATCGCAGCAATCACAGCGATGGTAAGGATCATATGGAAAGCGTGCTTTAATTTGATCGTCGCTTATTATAAACGTAAGGATTTCTTACAGCGAAACCTATATTTAAACTGTGTATCATTATGAAAAAGCCTTGAAGGCTGGTGATATCTTATGGTCCGTCTCAATAAATGCAGTAGTTTGGTCGAGTGTGTTGATTTCAGTAACTTGAGTGGAGCTACTGTGGGCTGTTTATAAGTTTTTCCGAATAGCATAGACCTAAAATGTTCGTTTGTCCAGTGCCAAAAGTATCACAAGTCATGATGAAACGGCACCGTCGAGCTTCACATCTCGGTAGATTTACTTTGTGGCACAATGGCCGCCGAGCTACACAACTCTGTAGACTTACTTTGTGGCACAACGGCCGCCGAGCTACCCAACTCGGTAGATTTAGTTTGTGGCACAACGGCCGCCGAAACTTTTGAAACATGAACGTTTTGAAAGATTCAGCAAACACAGATCAATAGTAGACCTTCAGCAAACTCTTGAAATATGTACACTTTACAAAGATTCAGCAAACTTTTAAAAGATGAACGCTTTACGAAGACAGAATAAAAGACCTCAGCAAAGGCTTGAGGACGCATGAATCACCACGTGAGTTAGATCGTCAAAGTGAGGCAAAACGTAAGCAAGCGCCTCAAATTGAGGCAAATGTGTGTCGACGACGACGACAAATGCAATCTCAAAAAAATCTCCCTTATTAATTTCACTGGGTACCCAATAATGAACAGAACACCCAACACAAATTAGAGGGTGTGTTCTAGTATCTCAAACGCAAATATGAGCATTCTTTGGAGGTTTCTACTTTTGGGAATTTAGCAGCAAAAAAGTAAACAACAACAACAGCTACAGCAGAGATTGTGACACAGGGTACTATAATTATGTATGTCACAATGCGGTAGAGGCATTTGTCCACTTTTCCAGTGTCACATTTTTTGACAAGCTTACGTTTTTTTGATTGAGAGCTCATTTTGGTATTAAAATGTAATTAAGTAGTGGTCAGGGGATATCATTATTTTACTAGACCCTCACCAACTGTTGGTGTTTTCCTGTTTGCAGAATGAACCTCAAGATCTTTTATTTATTCTGACAGCACGGTATAGGGTGTTTATACTTAGCTACAAGCCAGAAACTGGTGACATTGTGACAAGGGCTTGTGGAGATGTCCAGGTATGTATATCACAAAGGTGTAGCTGTTTGCTGAGGGAAGTTAGTACCTTTATTTCTCGATTTATTGGTATTGGTCCTGTAGTGTGTTAGGATGCAAAGTCAAAGTTTGCCAACATGCGTTTTACTCAGTCCTCTCAACCTAGCTTGCCATTCCGGGTTGAACATTCTACACTAGCACCCAGTACACCACAGGTCCTCCCCAGGTATCAAACCTTCAACCTCCTGCAGTAATAGTTGAGGGGCTAGCATGTTTAAATAGCATCTTTAACATTTCATCCATTCATATAGATGAGAATTTAAACTAACCAGATTTGCCATTAAAGATCATCACACCCCCTATTTTTTTTTAGAAAAGGCACAACAAAATAGAAAATATTAAAATTTCTACTATTAAACACAGCCCATAAGCTTCAATAATAATATTAATTTACCAACACAACAGTCTTATTTACTCACACAACAGTGTTGGTGGTCTTTTATTTTGTCCGTCTCTTAACTCATGCTAGTGATGATTACCAGTATATCCATGGTGCTTATTATTTGAAATCATTAATGTTGTACACCCTACATTCTGTACTTTTCCAACTTGCACTGTAATCATGATAATTATTATTTACATCAGTATTTATTGTTAATTTATAGTGTAGTATTTCTTCTTGTTTATAATCTTTCTGTATTTAAATCAGGATCGGATCGGCAGACCATCTGACACAGGGTTGATAGGGATCATAGACCCACAGTGCCGTATGATTGGATTGCGACTCTATGATGGACTCTTTAAAGTGATTCCCTTGGAACTAGACTCCAATAAAGAACTCAAGGCTTTTAACATCAGGTAAGGCTAGCTGGCCATTTTCTCACAGAAGTGCATAAAGTTGAAAAAAGGTTGTGGAAGTGCACTTAGCTTAGTCAGCTAGTTACAGGCACTCCACTCAAATATTTAGAAATTTAAAATAATCCAAAATAATAGACCATAACAAGATTAAAAACTCCAACTGACAGAAGACAACCAGTTGGTTATTTACAAGCATAGCCAAGGATTTGAACTGGAGATGATCAAGAACAAATCCATCAAGTGGCGAGAGTGGGACACTCAAACCGGGGACTGCCGGATTGTGAGTCCGACATGCTGGCCACTCAGCCATGTTGCCCTTTCATTGCATTACAATAACATTAGTGTTCCAATACAATATACGGTATTTTCTTTTGCATTTGATTTATATTTAGACTCGAAGAGCTACATGTGATCGACATTGCATTTCTTCATGGCTGTCAAGTCCCCACCATTGTTTTTATTTACCAGGTATCTTTCCGATGTTAACTCATTTAGAAAAGGTGCCTTTTTGTTATTATTATAATTTTTGTCTCAAAGTATTCTGTAACTCTAACGATATGGTGCAATTCAATTCATATCAGGATCCTCATGGTCGCCATGTCAAAACATATGAGATAGTGCTGCGAGATAAAGAGTTTAATAAGGGTCCCTGGAAACAGGACAATGTAGAAGTGGAAGCGTCAAGAGTAATCGCCGGTAAAATAATATTCTGCTTTGGTTTCTTTGATGTGTAGTAAAACTGTTGTTTGGAACAATAGTGTTATTGAGATTAACATTTGAAAGTCAGTTTTCTGGTGAGCACTTGAGATGTTGCCTCATTTCGAAGCTCTTTATCTTTGAAAAATGAGGTAACAAGGGTGCCTGCTAATCATTTTGGAATAAAATATGTTAGTCTTGTGGGTTGGTCCAGATTGTCTGTTACACCCTGCCTGACATTCTGTTCACATCTATTGTTACTTTTTCTTGTAATGTTTAAATAATGCTTGTCTGCCTTTGTAATATTCACATAATCACTAATCAACTTCGTCAATCTTATTGAAACATTGCTCCAGTTTGTTTTCCCATCTTTTAGCCTGCTACAATGTATTATACATGTATTTGGTTATTTTTCTGTATGCTTAATGGAAGTCTCTAACAAATCTCTAGTTCCAGAGCCACTTGGTGGAGCTCTCATCATTGGACAGGAGTCAATAACGTACCACAAAGGAGCCAACTACCATGCTATCGCTCCTCCAGCTCTCAAGGTAAACTACTACTGCATCAAGTCAAGGCATTTAAAGTTTGTCATCATTCTGTAGCTAGTTGATAGCCATTTGTGTATTACTTTACATGCAATATTAGCTCAGTGTTCAATAGCAAAATGTTTTCTTGAATATGATAAACTGTGTTGGCTACAGTTTAACCACATTTCTTCAAGACTGATTAAACTTGGTTAAACTACCGGTATATAATATATTATTACATTTATTAATATTGAAAAAAATTACTTCCATCTCTATGTCCCTCCTAAGACCCCCACACCCCCTAAATAAAATCTATTCCACCCCACCCTCTTCCCCAAGGGCAATAGTGAAATAAATTACTTCCATCTCAATTTTCCTCCCAAGACCCCCACACCCCCTAAATAAAATCTATTCCACCCCACCCTCTTCCCCAAGGGCAATAGTGAAATGAATTACTTCCATCTCAATGTCCCTCCCAAGACCCCCACACCCCCTAAATAAAATCTGTTTCACCCCACCCTCTTTCCCAAGGGCACCCTCCAAATGAATATCACTTGCACCTATCATCCCATTATCACCCTCTTGTACAAAACATTAAGAATACTATTTTTGCAGCAAAATTGACTGATCATTATTAGAACACTGCATGAAGGAAATTCTGTGGTGTTGAAAGGTTTTCCTAAGACAGTAATACTGTTAGTTGCACAATTTTTAGTGGTATGTAACAATGTTAAAGTAAATACTGTATTACTATCGAAGGTTTTAAAAAGAATCTATATTTTGATCAATGAATGTTTTCAGTTTCTTTGGACATATAATGATAGCTTTTCCAAAATATTGCTTACTTTATAGCAAAGTACCATCACTTGCTATGGGAAAATTGATACTAATGGCTCTCGTTATCTCCTTGGGGATATGAATGGCCGACTATTCATGCTGCTCCTTGAGAGACAAGAGCTGATGGATGGGAACATTGAGGTCAAGGATCTTAAACTGGAGCTTCTTGGAGAGGTACATGTAGAAAGAACATAGGCCAAATAATCAATACATTCATCATGATTGTTGGCTGGTGGAGATCACAGATGTACAAAGCTATCATCATGTAATAATAATAACCTAATCAAGGTCAATTGTTCGACTGGTCTTCTGTTGAATAGATATATAACGCAAACAACCTGTATTGTTGTTCTCTCTTAACACTCGTTCGGTAAGAAACAAGACCGCTGATGTTCTGGATTATGTTTCTGACTGTAGAGCTGATCTGATTACATTTACGGAAAATTGGGCGGGGTGAGAATGATGCAGCAATTAAAGCGGAACTTTGTCCAGATGGATACCAGTTTATGGATCAATGTAGAAATGGACATCGTGAAGGTGGAACAGGTTTAATGTTTCGAGATTCCTAATCTGTGTAAAGAAAGCAGGAGGAGGCAAGCATGAGTCTTTTGAATTTTCGGAGTGGATCATTATCAGACAAGTTTCGTGCAGTTATTATCTATTGCCCTCCTTATTCAGAAGTTCATTCTGTGACATCTAATACTTTCTGTACGGACGGAAATTGTGAGGTATATGGGGTCCATCCTTCTAAAGAGAAGCTCACAATAATACGAGAGATATGATAAGGTATAACATCCACCATTGTTGTCAGATAAACCCATTGCACCTTTCTGGGCATCACTAGTATCATTGGCATTGAAGCGTTATCGCTGTTATCAGAATGAAATTGGATCCCTGAACATGTACATACTAATAATGCTCAAAGTGTGCTAAGTCAGGGTTAAGTTGGGTACATAGTTTACAATAACTTCGTACTTCGTTGTTTGTTTAAATCATTTGCTTGATATTTTTTTACTGTAGACTTCAATAGCCCACTGCCTTACATACTTGGACAATGGCGTAGTTTTCATTGGATCAGCACTGGGAGACTCACAACTTGTCAAGGTACCAAGCACCAGTGTTTTGTCTCATCACCATCAAGTACACTTTGTATCATGGTCACTCAACAAAATCACCAAAAACAAGCCTTAAGACAGTTGTACACAAGAGTAGATGCTATGACTGTCAGGCCACTCACATGTACATTGTAGATGTAGATAAACAACAACAACAACAATCTTTATGTGATGAAAATTAGAGTACTTGCTGCCTGGAATAACCTTAGGGGCTAGCAGAGCCAGGTAGCCAGTTGACATCAGCATTAAATAGAAATAAATTAAAGGTCAGCAAGAAAACTGAAACACAATAAATTGAACAAAACTAAAAAATTACTGCCATCTTTCTCGCTGAACAATTGCTTAACAGTTACAGAATTACACAATTAAAGTGCGACTACTCAAACCAGGGCACTTGGAAAAAGATTATCCAATCACAACAATTTTTGAAAACAAAAGATTCCCAATTTTTATTGCAAGATGACCAATAAATTTCAAGGTTTGACTATGCAACTGTCAAAAACTTTAAAACCGTTGAACATATCGATCTGACCTCTATGGAAACGGCCCTTAAATTTATGAATGTTATTGGTCTCTTTGCAATTAAAAAACTTGATAATCTTTTGTTATTAAAAAGCCAGTGTGATTGGATAATCTCGTTCCAAGTGCCCCAGTTCAAGTAGTCTCACTGTAAATCCCTATAGAGAGTGAATCTGTCTAATCACTTTGCTTCATATCCTTGGCTGGGAATCTGCTTATTGCATGAGATACTGTTAAAACTAAGTGTCTAGCACTAAGTGTCTCAGAGTATTATCTTGTGTTTTTGCAGCTCAACACTGAGACAAATGAAAATGGTTCCCATGTGCATGTTATGGAAACTTTCACCAACCTTGGACCCATTGTAGACATGGTGGTGGTTGATTTGGAGAGACAGGGTCAAGGACAGGTAACTAACAACATCCATTCCTTTTTGACCTTTTTTTAACGTAAATCATTCATGTTTAACTTCTGGTTTTTTCAGGGAGGGAACTTTTTCTTGCATGTCCTTTGAAATTGTATTATTACTGGTATACTGCATGTAACAAGAATTATCATTCAAAGCAAATTTTTCTTTAATACCATTTTAAAAACTTATATGAATGCCGTCCAACTGTGTTTGGGTAAATTCTGCACAGTCCCTGCTTTTCCTGCTTCACTTAAGGATATTCATTAAAAACAAACTTGATGATCGAATGATTGTCAGTGTCTGCAGATCAATTATTTGCCTCAGCCTTGGTCAGGACAAATCACGATATTTTGCTCAACCTCATCCAACAACTGTTAATTATCCCCACAAGTTTGTTACCAGGGCTAAAAAATAAGGGCTGGTCAACAGACAGTGTCTGGTCAAGATTATTAGTGTGATCGGGAGGGAACAAGAAGTACTTTTTTGTTTAATGTACCGGCATCTAGATCAAACCCTGCATTTTGCTGGTGTAGAGGTCATTGGGTTAAGGTTTCAACTAGGATGTATCCTTCTACACTAGAACGAAGAGAGGTTATTGAACATGTTAGGTATTGAGTGCCTTAGTTAATTTTGTTTGTTTTCAAATAGTTGGTTACATGTTCGGGTGCTCTCAAGGAAGGCTCATTGCGAATTATAAGAAATGGCATTGGCATTCATGAGCATGCTACAATTTCAGACCTGGTGGGAATTATGGGTAGGTCAATTTCTCATGCCATTTCCTAAACAAAGCTGTCCCATTAAATTTGTTTTGTACTATAATTATTGGTTGTGCTCACATTTAATACAGCCCTATTAAACTATAGTCTCTCTTTTTTCAAATAATATCTCCCGTAATTTTATAGAGCTGATGTATTTCATTATGTGGCAAGCAACATGTAGGAAGAGGATGTAACTACCTTGTATTGTCAGGGGGTGTGGAGTGAGGAAGTTCAAAGCAGTTTTTGATGCTCTGCTCTCCCTCTCCTAGGAAATTTCTTACCAACCAGGGTAACCATGATATTCTCTCCCAGTGAGATTTCTTAGCACACAATTGGTACAAGAAGTCAAATCATTGATTAAAATTTGGTCAAAAAATGATCTTTTTGTTTAGTCTACTGTATTAAATGTTCCTGCTTTTTTTACTTAATAGTTTTTGTTTTTGCTTGATAATGGACATCAATAATAAGCAAATGCTTGTGGTGATGCAGTACCTCTTAATAATATTAAAATAAACAATTTATCAATAGTATAATTTCCAGCAATGACAGTAAAAATTTTACCTGTGTACATTGGAGTTTTAAATGAGATTTACCTTTATTAATCAGGCATCTGGCCTTTGCGATTGAAAAAGACTGCAAAGAACTTTGATGATGCCTTGCTTCTTTCATTTGTTGGACAGAGCAGGTACGTTTTTTAGGTAGTTTCGAAAACGAAGCACTCGAAAACGAAGACCGAAGCACGAAGCACTCAAAACTCGAAAACGAAGCACCCTAGATCAAAAACGAAGACCCCTAAATCTCGAAAACGAAGCACCCAAAACTCGAAAACGAAGCACCCTAGATCGAGAACGAAGCACCCAAAAATTCGACACCAGTCTGTCCTTTATAAACACAAGACCAATGCTAATACAGCAGGAATCATGAGGAATCAAGCACGATAACGAATCGAATGCAGTGCAAATCTACTCAAGTTGTAAATGCATTTCCGCCGCTGCGTGGGAGGTCCGGTGGGAGGCCATGTTTTGGACGTGATCAGAAAACCGAGAACGCCCAAACCATTTCTCGAATGTTACTGTATTGCCAGTAAAAACCAGTTAAATTCGCAGGCTTGAATCGATGATAGAGAGCTTTAGATTCTAAGACGAGTACGAGTACTAAGTGGTGCTCGCGCGAACCAGCGTCATTTTGGCGGGGTGAAGGGGGGGGGGGCATAAGGGGCGAAAACAAGAGAACAAATGTTAGAAGTTTGATAATTTTGCGATCGGGAGGGGGCGTAACCTCCTGCCCTGGTGAAAAATGGTAAAATGAAGCTTTCCGGAGAGTCTATATTTTGACTTCAAGTCAAATCTGGTATTCGTAGTCGTCCTCGTCCTCGAATCTAAAGGTCTCCAATATTCTGTAGCTAACCAATATACAGCAGAATACCATTGTTAGAAAACATGTATAGATAAGTTATGGACTACCGAAACCATTGTCACGCGTGTTTGTCGTTACTTCAGTAGCGTTTTTCAAAAATTGCACTCACCACCCCACTTAAAGGTGCAAGAACCAGGAAAGCCGAGAGCCAACTGAAGAATGGTTACTTACAAGTAGTTTAAGCTCCTACAGAACACGTGACTTTTTAGGTCTAAACAATCGGAAAACATTAGGGCCATTTATACGAGGAAAAATAAGACGTGTCTTACATAAGACGCGTCTTAAATAAGACACGAACTGTAACATTTATACGAGCATGTCTTATCTAATAAGACGTGTCTTAGCTAAGCCGCATCTTATTTTAGACGAAATGTGCCGTTTATACGGAAAGTTCGCGTCTTATATTTCCTCGTATAAATGGCCCTATTGTCCTTGTTACAGTTACAGTTTTGTACCGAAAAAATGCATATTAAGGTAAGATGTATCAAGTATAGCGAGACCAATAATAAAATTAATACAGTATATCCTATCTAGAAAAGTTCAGTTAAAGAGTTGGCAGGCTCTTATAAAACCTTGCGATGGATTTTGTGGACCTTTGGAGGTGTGGACGCATCTGCTGCCTCCACCTGATTCAGGTGCTTCGTTTTCGAGATTTGGGTGCTGCGTTTTCGAGATTTAGGGGTCTTGGTTTTCGATCTAGGGTGCTTCGTTTTCGAGTTTTGGGTGCTTCGTTTTCGAGATTTGGGTGCTTCGTTTTCGAGATTTGGGTGCTTCGTGCTTCGGTCTTCGTTTTCGAGTGGTTCGTTTTCGAAACTACCCGTTTTTTAAGGGGTTTCTTTCACTGTCCACAGAGATTTTTTTTAACCGTCTGAAAACGGCCCTAGTTCTTATCTTCATTTATGTCTAGATAATCTGTTAATGGAAAATGAAAGGTCTGGGAACAGACCAATTTCTAAAGAAACTGATGTTGCATTGTTGGAAGAGTGAAACACAAAAAGTTGGTTTTTATCAACTGATTTGATAATGTAAATTTTTCAGCATGCAGAGATTTCAAGCACTAGTCCTTTGTCATCTTGATTCACACAGGCCAGCGCTCAAAATCTCAGCTTTAAAACCTATTTATGGTTGTAGATTTACATTCTAGTTTATGAGTAAACTCAGTTGACAAGACCTAGTAAGTGTTTGTATGAGAGATGGACTGAGTTCCCTGGCATGGCTTCTGTTAGACTTCACTGCGCAATATTTTTCTTGAATTTGCTTTTCATTTGGAATGTGCAACAAAATTGTTGATGAATTTTTATAATGATTTATTTTTCTGTCTGTCAAAAGAAATTGTAGTTAATTGGTACTTGTGTGTCTATTGCTACTTTTTTAGGTAAGAGTGAAGAGAGTTACATGATTGTAAGTGGTCCACTTCACTTGCAGTTGTTGGTTGCCTAAACCTCTCAAAATCAAAATGAATTTCTCTGACTTAAGTGCAGTTATTTTTCTTGTAGCAAACAAATTTCAGAAACAGAAGTTAAATGATTTAAAATTACATTGACTTGATATAACTATTTCTCTTGTTGGTTTGGTTGACTATAATATTTGTACATTTATTTATTGGTTTTATATGGATTGTTTTGTTAACCTGTTGTTCTGATTTTGATTTTCTTAGAATTTTAGCTCTTACTGGAGAGGAAGTTGAAGAGACGGAAATTCCTGGGTTTGATGACAACCAACAGACCTACTTTTGTGGAAATGTCACTGGTGATCAAATCATTCAGGTACATTTTATTTTAGGTTCCTTCAGACAACATCATTCACTGCTATAGGAGGCAACACAGGCAACCCAAAGTCATAGTTATGAGGAAAAGGTGGATGTAATGTACAGAAGTTTGTTTTCACCATAATGATGAGGTTTGTGACAAGTTTTGAAGGGAGTGGCATTGAACAGGAGATTACCGGTAGATGCTCTTAAAAACTTAACATAAAATTATTTTGTTGAATTGCTCTTAACTGGGTCAGGGTATGTTTTTGCATAAAATCTTTTAATATCCCTCAAAGTGTTTTTTTTTTTTTATAAGGCCTGCTTTTAACATTTAGGTGATTTTGTCACCTAAATGTTTTGTAGCACTGGGGCATTTAAGGGCATTTTTGCTTTACAAGATGGTTATAGTCTGTGTTGATGTTTTTGATGCAGGTCACCACATCATCAGTGCGTCTTGTAAGCTGTGAAACAGGGCAGCTTGTTTGGTGAGTTGATTCTCTTTTTTTTTAAACTCTTTCAATGCATGTCTGTTTTCATACTTACTTTTAAGTAAAAAAAACATAAACAAGTTTTTGATGCGTGCCATATCTTAAATTTGTTTCAGTTCCACAGAAAGAAAGCCTATAATAAATGTTGTATTAGCCTTGCCGTCATGCTACTTTGTGAATGAAAGATGTATTTGCTAAATAATATGATGTGACATGACTTTCTTAAATGTCCAGGTAGACTGAGTGTAGCATTTCATCAAGAGACATTAGTTTACTTTAATGCTAAAGTCTGGAAGTACTACATGTATGAAACAACAAAAGGGGCAAATAATGTCTACTTTGTAGATTAATGGATGTTATTATGGTAATGTTTGGTTTCATTGTCAGATGAAGTAAGTTTTGAGATTCTTTCCTTCTCCTTCATTCCACAGTGAATGGCGGCATCCTTCGCATAAAAATATCAGTGTATGTGCATGCAACTCAGAGCAGCTTGTGGTGGCTGTTGGCTGTGATTTGTTCTACATGGAATTAACTGTTGGGCAAATTAATCTTATCAGGTGATTGGCCAGTCAATAAACTCACATAATTACTTGAATTGATTCAGTGTGCATTCCATTCATTTGCTTTGTAGAATCTGAATCTTTTAGTTCAGTTCATGCTTTAAAGGAGCTGTGTCAGGAAATTTACCAAAATTCAAACAGTGAGAACTGCCACCAATTAGAATGAAACTTTAACCCTTTAAGTACCAATAGTGACCAACATCAATTTTCCCCTGATGATATCCATATATTGTCAAGAGATTAGGTTATGAGAATTAATAAAATGATCACCTAGGACAGAAAATGCTTTGATCTTCTCTCAACTTATCCTTATAAGGAAATGTATAGAGGCCACATTGAAGAATTTGTATGTGGATATTGGGGCTTAAAGGGTTAAAATAACTGCTCAAAAAGTTACAAAAAGGTATAAATAACATCGCAAATGAAAAATTAGGCTAGGATGGACAAACGTGAAGAGGATTGAAACGGATTGCAATTGTGGTTTTTGAGAAGTTGTTAGCCTTAAAGTTTTCCAAAGTTCACTTTTTGTTATAAGTAATGGTTAATATAATGCTTAGGAGACATGCTTGTTTGACATGAAGCTGTGATTTTGTCATTCACAAGTAATTTCTTAAGTTTCACAGCAAAAGAACGCATAATTGGGATTATAAACAAAATGAATTAAACAGCCGTGACACAACCCCTTTTAGTCCCAAGAGCGACTAACATGAATTTTCTCCTCACAATATTCATACATCAGTCAGAGAAAATGTCATGAGAAATTGATAAAATGATGACCAAAGGAAAATTACTTTGATCTTTGAACAAATTCTCTCAACCAATTCCTTATGGCAAGGTACAAATGTGTGTACAATGTAGTTCAGTCTCACATGGAGAATTTGTATGTGGATATATATTGGGGCTAAGAGGGTTAGGAGGTAAGTTATGTTTGCGGTTAGGAGAGAAAAGTGTTTTTATGGTTTTGGTCAGTTGGTGAACAGGCTTCTGGGGGAGGTGGGAGGTGGGGTGAGGTATTTGGAAGCTCTCCCTCTTAACTTTCCCTTCCCTCGCTGCTCGCACTTTCTAACGCCCTTTCTCTTCATCTTTTACCCCATAATAGAGCCTGTTCAGTTCACAGCTTTGTTTTGTTAAGCATTTTTCCCTTTAAAACTGCAGCATGTATTTACATCTTGTCGTATTGTTAATTTCCAGCCAAACCACGATGGAACATGAAGTTGCTTGTCTGGATATCACTCCAACTTGTAAGAAATCTAATTATTATATAAACTGAGGTGTTTTACAAGGATTTCTACCACCGAGAAATGTGGTATCTGAACACACGTAAAAATACGATATTTTTACATGTGAAGATATCGATAATTTCACTGAAATCAGGTTTGTCTCTTAAATTGTACTTAAATTCGTTGGTGTATCATCGAAACATCTTCGGGTCTTCCTGGAAAGTGCTCGGCAATCTTCGGAAATCTTCGGACATCTTCCGAAATTTTCGGAAATTCTCGGAAAATGTTCGGGAACGTTCGTCTGGTCTTCGGGACAATTTGAAAAATCTTCGGAAGGTGGTCGGAAATCTTCGGAAAATCATCAAAAACGCGGTCATCAGTATGTTTATATAATAAAAAGAATATTACACGTTAGCTCGAAGATATGAATTTTATGTTCTCGTGGCAAGAGCAATATCTCACCCGTTCGCTGCGCTCACTCGTGAGATATTGTTCTTGCCACTCGAACATAAAATTCGTATCTTCTCGCTACCGTGTAATATTCTCTATTTACTACATATTACACGGTAGCGAGAATATATGAATTTTATGTTCTCGTGGCAAGAGCAATATCTCACTCGTTCGCTGCGCTCACTCGTGAGATATTGTTCTTGCCACTCGAACATAAAATTCGTATCTTCTCGCTACCGTGTAATATTCTCTATTTACTACATTTGATATTTCCAGACCTACAGCTATTTATTCTGTCTCCTACAAGGATTTCAATAGAAATTGACATAGCCAGCTGGTTTGAATAGAGTATTCTACTGTGTCAACAAGGCCGTGGGGCTGGTAGTCCCCTTTTTCTAGGGGTGTCTGGGGGCGTGTTTAATATTTGTTAATATTTTCTTTGTCTCTCACGTAGCATTATATGTTTTTCTCCTATGGTTGTTTACACAACAAGGGAAAGTATTTTTCTAGAAGTTCGATTTTGGATAATCTCTTCTCGTTTTGTATCAGTTGAGTCAAACACCAGAGCTGACTTGGTAGCCGTGGGTTTGTGGACTGACATTTCAGTTAGAGTGCTTAAGTTACCCGGTTGTGAGCAACTGTTTATTGAGATGCTTGGTGGAGGTGAGTCTTATGGTTAGGTACATGACTGTAAGGGAACTTTACCCTTAAACTCCTCACAGGCGTCCCAAGCTGACATTACGAATGTGCTATGTAACTTTACTTTAGGTCTGCCAACGCTAAATATCACTATATTTTACTTTTTTTCTATAAAAAAGGAGACTTATCTTTGATGTATTCCTGTTTTTTTTTTGGTGTGAATTCATTGATTTAGTCGGGTCTTTTGGCTGTTATTGTGTGACCCCTGTCACTCCCTTCATAATACGAATACATCAAAGGTAAGTCTCCTTTATTTATTTTTTGCTCACCAAAAATTCTGTTCCTTGTGTTCCTTTTCGCTTTTATTTTATTTACTGCCGCTCATTTTCACCTTGCTGGCCGCTAGCATTTCTCATTTTCTCACCGCCGCTATGAAATTTTTGTGTTTTTCTTCCAACGAATTTCGTCTCCTTTGTTTTAAATCGCTCGCTCTAGCTCTTTCTCTGTTATCCTCCTGAGTGTAGACATCAAAAATAACATCGAAAAAGAATTGACTTTGTATTCGTTTTTTCCCTCTTGAAGTCCGGGTGGCCATGCGATTTCCCACCAAAAACACCTCGAGTTGCCTGTGGTGTCATACTTGTTAATTGAGTTATTTTACATTGGTATACCTGTGGTGCAGACAGACGGACGGTCGGACGGCGTACGGTCACATGATTACCAAAATTTCTAGGATAGATGCATTACCAAATTTTCTTAGCTATTAATTAAATGTCTGCATCGTGCCAGAGAAAATCATACCTGTTACAATTTATCTTATCACTGCAATTTATCTACTTTAATTTTCTCCTGTCCAAACATTTACTTGATAGGATATTGAAAATGCACCTCTATTCCTTTTCACAGAAATAATTCCTCGCTCTATTCTGAAGACATCTTTTGAAGGAATTCATTACCTGCTTTGCGCTTTGGGAGATGGAACTCTGTTTTATTTCACCATGGACCCAAGCAATGGTACATTTGAATACCTTTGACGCCTATAACTCTTGGCAGAATAGTAGCTTAACTAAGAATGTCTAAAGAGTTACGAAATACACTATGACATCCCGAAAGTACATAATTTTAATTATAACAGCATAATTTGGCTTTCTGTACACTGAACATTGGACATGTTAGCCACATGTCAGGAGTAACTGATATTCAAAGAGAGTAAAGGGTATGGTTAATTCTTTTTTTTACTGAGAAAGTTGTGGGACAGTTAATATTAGTCCCACGCGGCCAAGGAGACTTGCCTGACGAAACAAAAACGGTCGCGAGCAAGAAACTTTTAAAGCTTACTTGCCTTATGGGCAAGGGTCTGAGCAAGTCATTCTCTAAACAAATCATTAACTAAAACATAGTCTACTGACTATGACTAAAACGAGCAAGAAGTGGCCCTGGAAAAGCAAAATGCGACAGCTGCTTGCCCAAAGAAAAAGCTGGAATTCAAGTTGTTTTCGAACCCTGTATTCATTGATTTAAAAAAAAAGTTTCTCTCAACGGTTCAACGATCATGTTTATTTTTAATGTTTACTCTAGGATCCCTCACTGAGAGAAAGAAGGTGACACTTGGAACTCAACCCACCATGCTGAGAACATTCAAGTCTCTCTCAACAACAAATGTGTTCGCTTGTTCTGATCGACCTACTGTCATATATTCCAGTAATCACAAATTGGTGTTTTCTAACGTTAACCTCAAGGTATGTATTAGGAGCTTGTCCAATCAGTCTTTAGGAAGGGTTTCAGGTATCCCGAACCTATTGCTTAGGGTGCTTTTCAGCTGGAAAGATTTAACCGATGTCTATGATTTTGGCTACTTTAATGAGGAATAGTGGAAGTGTAAGGAAATGTTATTGATTTTCTTGTAGTCAAGAAAACGTTTGAAATATCGGCATGTATTTTTAAAAAAAATGGACAAAGAAGCTATTGTTATTATAATATGACAACGCCATCGTTACGGGGTACGCCAGTGAACAACGTCAACTTCCTTGACGTTAACCTTGTTACGACACTTGTTTTTTTTTCTCTCTCTCTCAATCGAATACGATGTTTTTTTTTTTTTTTTTTTACAGGAAGTGAACTACATGTGCCCGCTAAACTCTGAAGGATTCCCAGACAGGTAAATCTGATCCTTGATCGGCAAATAACTGTATCATCGAGAAAGATATTTGTTTAGTCAGTGACACAGACGGCTCGAATAAAAAGAACCGCTGAGTACCCTCAATAGTAATCGAACCTGTGACTTTCTGTAACTAGTCCAGATGCTCTACATGACTAAGCTATAAGAGACCCGTGGGAGGTAAGGGCACTAAACTCGCTTTGGGTGACAAAGATCCTACATACTGCTAGGGCTGAAATGTCGTTATGTGCTTATTCGCAATGAAAGAAGAAAATTCTCCAACAAAAATTCAACAACAGCATCGCTTTCACGTCCGGTGTTCGTGACTGCACGACGTGAGAATTTAGCTTCATGTTTTGAATCGGTTTGCCGAACTGTTAACATTTTCGCTCCAAACTGTGAAATGCTCAAGTTCTGCAGGTTTTTTCATTCCAGTATGAAACGACTGGCAAAATTTAAGTTGGAAACTTTAAATACCTGTCTCAGAGCAACACGATAGCCTCTACAGTGGTAACTGCACCCATGATAATTTCGTGTCAAATCAGCATCTAATCCAGGTGGTACTAGTTGTTTTAAATTTGGAGCCCATTCTCTTGACATCCCTTCCGCCATGTTTTGCCCCAAACCAGCTGGCTCCAAACGAGTCCTGTAGGAGTTGAACTCTTTTCCCTGCTAAATGCCTTCTACTTTGTCGCAATAATTTTGCAAAGATCTGGAGCTGCTTTGCTTCATTTAGAGGTGTTTATAAAACAAAGGCGGTTGTGAAGCAGGAAAGGTTGGGAGGATTTAATTGACGATTTGTATTCTTTGCGTTTCAGTTTGGCTGTAGCGAGTGAAGGAGCATTGACCATCGGAACAATTGACGAAATACAGAAACTTCACATCCGAACTGTTCCTCTGGGAGAAAGTCCACGGTATTGGATTACATGAAGTTATTTACGGCGCTTTTGACTGATTGTGTTCACTGTTTTCACATAGACCATAATAGACCTTGTTTAGTCCCCCAAATTTTGCATAACCTTTGTCTTTGATTTATCTTGGGACGACTGTTATACCTATAGAAACTGAAAACATTGGTTATGCCTTTTTTTTTTATCTGGAGTGGCGGGGGGGGGGGTAAGCAAGGTGCATTATGGTCTATGTGAAAATGGTGAATTCGAAATGAAAATGCAAATGAAGTGGCTTGGTTATTACGGCAACTGAACTGAATGAAGGAAAATGGAGGGGAATTGTAACGATCTTTCTGGAAATTGATATTCCGAAATTCGATAAATCAAACGCAAGGTTTGCATTATTCAGTGGAATCTGTCGCTTTCGTGGTAAAACTAAATATGCAGAATGGCAGATAGAAGAGAAGCTTTTTTGTTTGTTTATTATTTTTTTTCTGTTCGTTTACCTCTGTTTTTCCTGTTGTCTGTTTGGAATCTTTGTTTCTGCCTTCTTTCACTCTTCTCATGATTTTCAGTTACCTGTCACGGGTAATCTAACTGTCGACTAAACGAAACAGCCCCATCCCCAACCAGAAAACGTATTCCCCGTATTATTCAGCCTGCGCCACAAACGTAATTTGAACGGCAACTTACTATGATAAATTTCGCCTGGGTCGCAGACTAGTCAGGGTAGTCTTATTAAGCTGAGGACAAAGAAGACTCAGGTTAATTACCGCACGTAACTAATCTAACATTGGTGGTATTTTTTCGCTTGTCAGGCGTATTGCCTATCAGGAATCCACCCAAACATTTGGCGTGATCTCTATGCGTATTGAAGTTCTGGATCCCACAACAAATTCCACCCAACCCCTCCACCCCAGTGCAAGCACTATGGCTCAGAGCATAACTACCAGCGTATCAACTGGCATGCCAGGCACATCCACCGGTAGCTCCAGCAGAGCTGCTGCTGCTGACGGCATCACTTTTGGCGATGAGGTGGAAAGAAGTAGTGTCTTGATTATTGATCAACACACCTTTGAAGGTATGTCTTAGTAACCATGCACTTTGCCTTGCTTAGTTCACACATAGTTAATTGAGTGGAATGGTTATGAAACCCGCCAGACTCCTTTGTTATATGTTTTTGTGGACCTGAAAGTGCACAACGTTCAAAAGAATTCCTATCATTTTGATTGTATTGACCAATAAAAACGTTGCATTAATTTATTCCGTAACAATTTGCCAACAGAAAACAAAGGATTGTGCACTTTCACGGTACTTCCAACATAAACTGCCGCACTGTTGTTTTTATCATTGATGTTTGCCGCTTTTCATAACCAGTCTCCTCTAATAACTATGGTTCACGGGTGTCCAAATTATCGTCGCTGTCAATTTCGGATGCTGTACTAAAGTGGAGAGTCTTAAGCACGTCGACCCCTTCATCAGTAGTGGGATCTAAAATTTTGTCAGTAACCATATAGCAAGCGAAGCAAGCTTTAATGAGATTGCCAAGCGACTCAAGTGGCTGGCGCGGTGGCGAGGTTTCGCCTGCCCCTCTTGAAAGAATTTGAATCTAGTTTTCCGCCAAAATCATAGTCAGGGGACAGTGTTTTATCGGTCGCTTGACAGATCTTTCAAAGGTCCAAAAGCTTATGTGACAGTAACAACGAGCATAGCAGTATTAGTCTTGATTGACGTCTTGTTCGTCGTTGATTCTGATTGGCGTGCGCTATGATTTATTCAGCTGAAATCGGCGTGCTGTAAGTGAGAAAAGTCCTTCGTTGGTGTGGCAATTCCTTATTTGGGCAATTGAGCTATAGTGCTGCTATTTAAATGAAACCTCTTCATATTTGGTAATACTATTTTGTTTGTTACAATTTTGCCAGTTTAAATTTAGTTTTTTCTCCCGGGAATTTTGACTACAACGAAAGTGTTAACGCATCATTTTCCTGTTACAGTGACGCATGCGCATGATCTTCAAGACCACGAGTGTGCCACCAGTCTGATTTCGTGTACGTTATCAGGTGATCCTAACAGTTCATTCAGTAGCAATGGATCCTCCAACACATTCTACTGCGTTGGTACAGCTTACGTCTTCCCTGAGGAGCCGGAACCCAAAACAGGACGACTTATCTTATTCCAGCTACTAGAAGGTAGAAAAAAAGACAACTTACGATAGAGTAACGGCCTACGTCAACGAATACACTACCTTTAATAATAGAGACCGTAAGACTCAAGAACAAGAACGACTACGAACTCAGTACAATATTTGATTAAAAGCTTTTTCGCGTATTGTCAAAAAATCGACGCCCCGAAATGCTTCATTGTTTTTTTTTTTTTCACCAGAAAAGTTAGCACGGTTATCTCTGGTGGAGGAGGTTAAGCCCTCTCCAGATCGCAACACGTTATTTCTCTAACATTTGATAACTTGTTTCCGCCACTACGAGCATTCTCGCTTAAACGCGTAGTAGCATGACGACGGCTATCGCGTTTTCCCGCCAAATGAGGCTGGTTCACGCGTAAGCACTACTGAGTACTGAGAAAATCTCGTACTTGTCGTCGTACTCGTCTTATTAGAAACCAAAGATCTCTAATGTCAAAACTGGCGATATAAACACAACTTAGGCCTGCAAATAATCGTCAGGTAAGATTTCCGTTCAACCCCATAATTTATTATGCATTCACTAATTTCATACTATTTTACACAAATAGTTAATATGAATAGAATAGAAACATGTATGCATAATAATTGATGGGGCTGTACAGAAATCTTTCCCACAGTTTTTACTCTACATTATAGAGGGTGGAGCTTTATGTCTAAGTGCGCCAAAACTCCTATCACAAAGATGTGAAAGGCCAGTAACTTCTTATCACACCTTAAAAATATGTTTGCAAACACATGTACAAATTTGATATTTGTATGAAAAAAACTTTGTGCCGTGCACCTGCAAATGCCCTTTCATACAAATTCGTAAGTTGGGCGCCTTATAATTCCGTTGTTGGTACTTTTGTTTCAGGGAAACTTGTCCAAGTCGCTGAAAAGGAAGTCAAAGGTGCTGTGTATTCGCTCGTGGAGTTTAATGGCAAAGTTTTGGCTGGTATTAATAGTACGGTAAGCACAATGATTTCACGAAAAAATAAAATAAAAAAAGTTGCATGTAAGCTATCCTAGCCCAGAAACAAGGCAACATGTCAGGCGAAGACGAAGATGGTTTGATGTCCCAAGTCAATCTTGTGGGATTTCAACTCTTTTCTTACGTAAACGCTTCTTTTCTTCCAATGAATTAGCATAGATGCTGGGGCATGGGTACGTCAGTAAAATCGCTTTAGGGGCCATTCCTTGAGCATGCTTCTCTTTGTGTTTACCCAGGCCTTTGACGGACCTAACACCTTCACCGTTTCCAAATTTTTCATCCCATATCTAGACTGCTGCTAGTATCTTGGGGCGGTGGGTTGAGCGAGCAAATCGAACGATCGATCGAAAAAATGTAGAGCCGAGTGAAAACTGGGAAGAAAGCACCTCCTCCGAAAAGGGTTAGAGAGACGCCTTTCTTCAGTTCCCCTTTCGGCCCATACACGTGCACACTTACGACGTAAGCATGAAAGATCGGCCTAAGGGCCACCAGCGTCAAAAAAAGTTAATAGGGCGGCAAAAACAAGAACGATTTGTGATGTAGAGATTAAAAATTAACCTGCAAAAGTTATTCCTGGAACAGTTATAGTAAATGAATGTGCGTTGGAAAGTGGACAGAGGAGAAACTAACCTTCGGCAAGGATCCCACGGAAATACATGAAACGTCAAGTCTTTCCTATTATCGGAACGATTAATACAAAACGCAGCAGAGCGGCATTTGTGAGGACTAATTTTTTGTCATAATAGAAGGGCATGCTTCTGCCACTTTATACAATTTAATGGGCCATTTTCGAGCTCTTCGGGGCCTCTGTATCAAAACGAGGTTAAGTACTCAGCTTTTGATATGGAAATAATTTTTCATTCTCATGCAAATAAAACTCACTTTCACAAGAAAGGTTGTACACTTGGCCTCATTTTGAAAGTGAGGGTTTTTGGAACTCGGAAGTGGCCTATTGCGATGGGGCCCTTAGGAGCACTCGCTTTCATGCGTACGTCTTAAGTGTGTATTGGTTTTCTTTAATCCTTCGGAGGGTCGAAACGACTGACTGAAAAGCTGGTGACTGCCTATAGTCCGCTTCTTCCGTCGTATCCAGACTGTACTAAGCACCATTTACACTGGCATCTTGTTTCCGGTTTACAAGTTCGTCCTTGACAGGTTTTTTTTGGTAGTGTATTTAACAGAATTGCCAATTTTTTTCCCATCAAGGGAAAAGCTATTTGTAGCCATAGCTGTGGCTTTTTGAAGTTCAACCTAGATGCAGCTCTGTTCTTACCTGTGTTGTCTCTACAGGTCAACATTTATGAGTGGACGGCGGATAAGGAGTTGCGATTGGAATGCCAATTTTTGAATAACATCCTGGCCCTTTTTCTCAAGTCCAAAGGAGATTTTATTTTGGTAAGTGTTTTGTTTTCATTGCTTTAGTCAAGAGAGAATAATCCCATTATCCTCTTGTGCTTTATTTTATGGTACTTATGTAATTTGACTTGAAATATAATTATGACTTGAAATGTCTAGATGGAAATTCACGAAAAATTTCTTTAAAATACCCGCTGAGCATCGCTTGTGAATGAAAACACATGCGAAAGGGTAAGCGTTCGGACTCGCCTTGAGAAAGAGGCCAGGTCTGTTGAACAAGACAAGAAAAAAAGGTTGTCGTTAGAGAAACTGTGGTTTTAGCGTCAGTAGGGGAGTGAATCACAAAAATCGTTTTATCAAGTGAGTTGATGTGTATGTACTTGCCACCGTAATGCAATTCTGAAGTTGACGTTTCCAACGGTGGTCTTTGTAAGGTGGACTGTGCACCTTCTCAACTTTGTTGCTAATCCAAACCAGGGCTGTCAACCCCTTAAGTCTTCAAATATTGAGAAATGATAGAAGACGTCATAATGCACAGCCCATGACGTCATTTCGCCAAAAAACGCGCGAAGTAGATGTTGTTGGAATTGTAACATTTGACCTGATTGGTTTACTTGTCCCCAATCACGTTATTGCTTATATTTCAATGGCATACCGGAGTTTATAAGGAAACGTTCAATGTCCACTCAAACAACGCAAAATATTTGAAATTTCATTGTCAGAGAGTCGAGTCTACAAGAAATGGCAAACTTTGGTGATTATTCGGGAGATTTCGGGAGATTTTTTATTTATTTATTTTATTTTTTATTTTTATTCGGGAGATTTCAGCCTCTAATCTGGAGACCGGGAGATACGGTTCAAAATCTGGAGTCTCCCGAATTATCCGGGAGAGTTGACAGCGCTGCCAAACATAGAATTTGTCTACCGGGTTTTGACACCTACTAAATAGTGGCAACTAGGTTTTACATTTTATGATAGCACGGTTCTCAATAGAAGGCGGCACCCGGCGATTGATCGCCGCTTACTTTGGGATTTATAGCCGCTTACTTTGTGTTTAAGTCGCTTTTCTTTGCTTTATTTTGACACCTCTGTTCTTTGCTGAAGAGCCTCCTACTTTATCAGTGATAACCTCCTACTTAAAAATCTATTGAGAACCCTGTGATAGGCCATTTCCGAGTTGTTCGAAGCCTCTGTTTCAAAGCAGGCTAAGTGCAAAGCCGTTGATATGAAATTATTTTTATTCTCATGCAAATAGGAATCATTTTCACAAGAAAGATTTTTGCACTTAGCCTCGTTCTTGGAACTCGGGAGTGGCCTATTGATTTTAAAGTTAAGGGGTGTAGCCAATCCGTAGTACGGTTACTTGCTGTTTTGCAGGTTGGAGACTTGATGAGGTCTATGACTCTGTTAGCCTACAAGTCCATGGAAGGGAGTTTGGAAGAGGTATGGACTGATATGGGTGCTATTTCTGTACCTTTGATCAGAGAATAATGGGGATAAGTTATAGGTTAAATCCTTTTTCAGTTTAAACCAGAATTTCCTTTCTTTCCTATAAATAATAAGGACCAGAAAACAAAGCAAAATTTGAGCAAAACTAGGTTGTTTACTTGGTTGACCTGAAAACAAATGTGTAAATAAGGACTCGCCTATAGCGTTATCGCTTTCATGGCAACACAATCTCAAGGGTCTCCGTATGGAACAAACTTGTTCTGTCATTAAAATCACGTTCTATTCCCTCTTGTTGATAGATTGCCCACGACTACAGCCCAAACTGGATGACGGCGGTTGAGATCCTTGATGATGACACGTTTTTAGGAGCCGAGAACTCTTTCAACTTGTTCACGTGTCAGAAGGATAGCGGTGCTGCTGCGGATGATGACAGATCCTACCTTCAAGACGCTGGACAGTTCCACCTTGGAGAGTTTGTTAACGTCTTTAGACATGGTAAGTGAGCAGTGTGCGGCTAATTCCAGCCAATGAGTGACCGTAGTCCCTGTCCCACGCTGATCAGGGACGGTAGGCCTTTTTCGCGCGCTGCTCAGGGACGGTGGGCTTTTTCCCGCGCTGCTCAGGGACGGTGGGCTTTTTCCCGCGCTGCTCACAGATCCTATTTCGTCCTTTGATTTTCCCAAGGGACGGGAGCCTTTTTCCCGCGCAGCTTAGGATGGTAAGCCTTTTTCCCGCGCTTATCAGAGACGGTGGGGCTTTTTTCCCAGGCTGATCAGGGAAGGCAGGCCTTTCCTGCGCTCATCAGGGTTACGGTGGTACTTCTCACATGCTAATCAGGAGCGGTGGTACCTGCAGGCAGTCCAGGTGGATGGTTTAAGGCCTAATCTCTGTACAAATACAAAGACAAATAAACCCTAGTTAGTATCAAATACATTCTTGCATTTCTTTGAATACTGCGGTTCTCTTCCTCGATGGTGTTTTCGTGTTTTTTTTCTCTCGGTCTCCTGTTTGAGATTCAGAAGACCGTGAACACCTGAAATATTTCAGGGATGTTGATTATTGTGTTTTCGCCAATCGCAACAAAGATCAGTAGGTACAAGCGGAGAACAAAATAGCAAACCTTATTCTCGGTTTTCACTGTCACGCAATCAAAAATAAAATTGCAAACCATTCAATACAGAAAGTCCCGAATCTAGGAAATAAAAGAAGATAAATAAGCAAAAGGCCTCGCCAAGAATCAGGTCTGTGCGATATTTCATATGCGAGATATTAGGAAAAACGTTTTACCCAAATTTACAAAGCTTTGTATGGCGACGCCATGTTTGTGTCCCTTTGCGGGGCACAAATATGGCCGCCGGAAACCAACAGAAACATCTGTTTTTGATTTTTCCTACTAATGCGTTAATTCATCGCTTGAAAAACTCATAAACTATTAAAGTGATATTTATTCTGAGACAAAGAATGTTTAGACAGCAAAATCTCCCAAAATTGGTAATGTTTTTAACCCACATAAGAGCCGTTGTGGCCGCCAGCTAAATGCCGCGTCACGCAAAAGCCTAGAAATTCAAACGTCCTCTATCGCAAAACGAAGAACCCTTTCGAACCAAAACTCTTTTTAAATAAAGGTGTTTAGGTGCTGTAATACCTCATGAAACTCAGAAACTCAGAAGAATCGATAGTTTCTTAGTTTGAATATAGGTGACGTCATGTGAAAACCGAGAATTAACGTAACTACTTACAGCTTAGTTTTGTTTCGCTGATAAACTATTCCTTGCAACACGATAACATTTCAGCGCCCAGTTGTTGGAAGGCCGATTAGCACTTAACCTGGGCTTAGATTTAACTCGGGTTTCTTTTTCTTTTGTTCAAAAGCATTTTCTTGGATAATTTTCTCTGTTATTTTTAGAGCTTCCAACCATCAATTTGTTGAAAAAAGGAATTAAAACTGAAATGCCTTTTACAGTTGTAAGCTTTCAAATCTGAATTCAAATCTCGCAGTAACCCTGGGTTATTTTAACCCAGCTTTGAAAAACTCGGTCCAGAAGTATTTCAGGTGTTCACGGGTTTCTGAGATCCAGTTTACACGAGTCCGGACAAATTTTTCATCGGACGAATTTTTTTGCCTGTGCAACCCGTTTACACGGAACCGTGCAAATTCCGCGGGTCCCGAGTAAACGAAAGGCGGATCTTTGCAAGTTTTTGACCGTTCAAATTTTTTTCTGGATCCGTGTAAACGGGCTCTGAGTTTCATATCTGCGACATAATGCTTGGAGAAGCTGAGTGGTGAACTAATGTGTCTTTCTGTCGGGGGGGAGGGGGTGGGTGGGTCGTATTCCTCCTCTCTTGTGAGTTAGATATAACATGTTCCTTCTTGTTTCGTTTTGTAGGCTCTCTCGTCATGGAACATCCCGGTGAAGCGTCCACACCATTTCAAGGCTGTGTTTTGTTTGGCACTGTCAACGGCACAATAGGTTAGACACAATCTGTTGTTCTCTCCATTGAGGAATAGGAGAGGGGTAGGGGAAGCAAGATTAGGGAGGAGGGTGGGGATAGAGAGTGTAGTAATCCAGACTGACAAATAATTTGCAATTGTTGAATCTTTATTCTCCCTTTTCGTGAAGTCATCGAATCTAGTAAGCTTAGCTTCCAGGTGGCGATGTCTGGTTCGCCACTGATTCTTTCATGGCAAGTCTATGGGCCTGTTTACATGGAGGTGGGGGACCCCATTTAGGTCAGGTAACCCGCTTAAGTGGGGTAACCCGCCTGTCCATATAATCTCTCATTTTAATGTGATCACGTTTACATGTTAGGTGGGGTGACCCGCCACCTGTTACCTCACCTACCCGGAGTTTGCAACGTGGGAAAACAAAATTTAAACCAGCGAGAAAATTGAACTACAACACGTGGTTTTCTTCTTCACTCAGTTGATCTTAGTCTTCTTGTGCAAGAAAATTCTTAATTGATTTGATTTAACAGGAATTGTAGCCCAGCTGCCTCAAGAACTGAGCACGTTTTTAACGGTGGTGCAAGTAAAACTCAGTAAAGTTATCAAGAGTGTTGGAAAGATAGACCACTCATTATATCCTTGAACTATTTGTCTTACTGTAGATGTGGAACTCTGTCAAGGAAGACAGATTTAGAACGTCTCCTTTTAATCACATCCCGTCTTTTGGTCACTTGTTTTAAATCTTAGGTTATGTTTATACTATTCCGAATAACTTTCCCAAGTGTGTAGTATGAATAGCAACGGTTCAGAACTGGAACAAGTCGCTCACACATATCGAACAATTTGGCCGTGATGGTTTTGTGAACAGGGTCCATACAGAGTCTTGAATTCTTGAAAAAGTCTTGAAATTTGCCCAGCAATTTCCAGACCTGGAAAAAGCTCCTGCGTTTTTTTAAGGTCTGTATTGATCACCTTTTTGGTAACCTTGAGTCTCGAAAAAGAAATTATTGTTATGGAAAAAAGTCTGGAGAAAGTCTTGAATTTTGGATCCAAAAATCTCTACGAACTCTGTGTGAACTAAATCCCAGTCCTCACTTCGTCCCCTATCGATATGTGACGCTCCACTTTAGAGATCGGCGCGGCGCAGCTCCGCTCCGTTACAGAAATCGCGCCGAAATCACCGTTCTTACGTGTGAACAGAATTGCTATACGGTATGGTTTTTGTGCCGGCGCAAATTAGCTATCCGATAAGTATGAACACCTATCCGATATGTGACGCTCTACTTTAGAGATCGGCGCGGCGCAGCTCCTCTCCGTTACAGAAATCGCGCCGAAATCACCGTTCTTACGTGTGAACAGAATTGCTATACGGTATGGTTTTTGTGCCGGTACAAAAGCTATCCAGTATAGTCTTAGTCTTTGCATTGGAATGAAACTCTCTCAATCGATAATTGTTTTATTACGAATACCCGCATTCTTAATACAGTGGAACCTCGATATAACGAAGAGCTAAGAGACCGTTGGCAAAAATTTGTTTGCTATAACGAGGTTTCATTATAGCGAGGTTCTTTTTCATATGTTTCACTGTTACTGGGGTAAAGAAAATCGTTCGTTCGAGAACTTCGTTATATCGACTCGGGGTTCGTTGTATCGAGGTTCCACTGTGACGATTTTAGCGGCACCTGTCACGTGGTGATTGAGCTAAAGACTGCAAGAGTTTCCGTACAGGGACCAGTGAGAAGTTAACTGTAATAAGAATTACTGCAGAATTTAATAATGCCTTAACTAGTTTTTCCACCTGGCGCGCCTTTTCCAATGAGAGAAAAACTGAGCCATCGGTCGGCTTTGTGGACGGAGATTTGATCGAAAGCTTTTTAGATCTCCCTCGGTCAAAGATGGAAGAGGTGGCCTCGGGACTACAGGTAAGTGTCAAGTTTTGTTTCGGTAATTGTTTCAGACTACCCCAGGCTCCAGGCCGAAGGAAGATAGCAGACTCATGGTATAAAATTTAGCCTGGGAGTTTTTCCCTCTCGGAGCGGGGTCTGATTACCCCGCAGAGCAGGGTTTTTCCTGGGACGCGCCAGCACTAGTATTTCTTGAGTTGTGCTGCACGGGAAAGGGGCCAGGGCTATGGTCGGGAACGAGGCAGGCGGGATCACGGATGTCCGTAAGGGCTGTGAAAACGAGATACAACCCTTATAATAGTGCTTGACTGCTCAGCCAATCGGGGCTTGCTGGCTGGTTAAAGAGAATGTAAAGTCCCTGTCAGTAATAAATTTTTTTTTATAGGAGCACTAACACGGTCACTGGTAATCATATAATTCAGTTACATTGTTTTTAGGTTCTTTATTGTTGTAATGCGCTTTTGATCACCTAGCGTGTTAAAAAGCGCACTATATAAATGAATAAATTATTATTATTGTTATTGTTATTATTATTGACCCTGAAATAAGGACGGAAACAAATAATTTATATAAACTTAGCCAGTTAGAATGCCGACTAGCCGGATGCAATCCAGTTTTATTAACAAGTGTGACTGAGGAGTTGAACTCGGGACTACCGAGAACAAATTCAGCTAGCGGTCAGGGTGAGACTTGAACTTGCAAGTCCAGCGCTCTAACCGCTCGGCCACGCAGCGTCCACAAACTCTCTAAGGTGGTCTCGTATCTACCTGAATAGATTGATGATGGCAGCGGTATGAAGAAAGAGTGCTCGGTCGAGGACCTGGTCAAAGTTATTGAAGAACTGACGAGAATCCATTAAGAAAACGTTATTCTGTGTTAAACTTCGACACCAGAGGCATTTGAAATCGGATTACATGCAAGTGAGCCTCGAATCCGTTAACCTTTGCAATGTAAATACGTGACTAAGCTTTGACGGGTAACGCCGACCCTAACTTTAAGTGTTATACCTAATATTTAAGGTATACATGTACTCGCGTCTTAAAGAACACACATTAGTTGGAGGCAATTTCGCGATGCATGTTACTTCAGGCTTACGCGCGCCTTCATGCAGTTATTCTTTAACGCCGAACTGTAAATATTACGCGCGTAAATAAAATAGAGGCAGTGCATGAAAAGGTCGCGCGTAAACGTAAAACTTGAATCAAGATGGATTTCCACTGACAAGTATTTTTCACGTGCGCAAGCACGTATATTTTACGCGCGTATACAAAATAGAGGCAACATATGAGGCGACAGTGGAAATCCACCCTCACGCTCAAAGTGTTCATTTACACGTGACCTTCTTTATTTACGCGCGTAAAATTTACGTGCGTACTCACATAAAAATTACGCAAAAGTGGAAATCCAGCTTTACGCGCGACCTTTCATGTGTTGCGTTGTTTTAGTTAAGCGCGTAAAATTTACGAGCGCACGTACTTAAAAATTGCGCGACAGTGGAAATGCTCCTTTACACGGCTGCTGCTGTTTTGGGATTTGCTTTCGCCCTATGACGTGTCCTGGGCCACGCGCCCGGCTTGTTGTGAGAGCGCGTGGTTACCTGCAACAGTTTTTGTTTTTTGGTCCGAGTGTGCCGTCCACGCTTTATAACTGAACTTACGCAACAGAACGGGAGAGGAAAGAAGACGGCAAACCTTGCGTGACAAGCGTGACAACAATTTTCTTTGAAATAACCTTCCGCCCAACTTCACCTTTTTTTAAACAAATCTTTTTTAAAAGACCAGCAAATATGAAATAAATTGAAATATTAATATTAAGAATATTATATCACGATAAAACTCGCAAGAAGTAGCTCGGTCACGTTTGTCACACACACAAGCGTTTTGCCGTCCTCATGTCGCGTAAACTTACTATTTATTATTGTTTAACTGTATTCTGTGTTGCATGAACTCTCAAAGTGTTTGTTTAAGGACGCTGAAAAGTAATATGAAGGTTAATTTGCTTTAGCAAAAAAAGATTATGATAATCATTATAAAGATAATTATTGTATTTTGAACGTTTAAAAACAATATGACGTTAGACGCGCTTCTTCAAACGTTCCTAGTATATTACCTTAAATGTACAGAACTTGTAATTCAACTTTTAGTGAAACTGTTGGTATAGGTAATAGCATGATTTCTAGTGATATTTGGCATAAATACCACGACTGATATTTCGAAATTGTTATAGGTAATTTCACGAGTCGTCAGGCGAGTGAAATTTGAGACAATTTTTAAATATCACAAGTGGTATTTATGCCAAATATCACCTACAAATCATGCTATTATTTGTTTATACTACTACCCGCATAAGGTTTGTAATTTTCACATGTAGGTATTTTCAAATTAAGCTGAAATACCACTGCTCTAAGCCAATCAAATTGCAGAAATTTCTCTCGTAGTAGTATAAGCCGTGGGGAATATTTATCCTAACTTTACAGATTTTTTTTCTAGTTTTTAGATAAGCGGTTGTTTGTAAATTTAGCCTTGTAATCACTGTAAATTTGCGCGTGTAATTAATTGCTTTTAGTAACTTAACTTCACTTTTCTATTCATTATTTCCATTTGTTTATGGTTAGTTTATTAACTTTATTGCTCAGCGGTATAATGAAATACTCCTGTCAAATTGACTCATGTTCTTGAGACCATAAAAACCCTTTTAATAAGCCCCAATATTTACATACAATTCTTCAGACTGATCGCAATACATTTCCCTCGCGATTTGGTTAAGAGGACCCTGGGTGCCAGAGACTTTTGTCCGATCGTGGCTTCGGCCTAGGGCCGAAGATGTGTCGGCCTTCGGCCAACGCCGAAAATTCCCGACAAAAGATTCTCAAACTCATCAATTATTCATGAGGGAAACAGCCAATAAATGAGGCATATTTGGGTCACATGCATGAACGGCTTGATACCCAATGAACACTCGGATGAAAATCTTGTGGGTTTTGATCTCAGAGGGAGGGCAATTGCAAAAAAGTGTATCACTGCATATTTTTTTTATTGTATCGTTTGAGAAGTCATCTCAGAAACTCGTGCTTCGGGTTTCATCAGGGGTTCCAAACACCAAGAAAAAATAAAGCACTCTGCCTGCGGCCTCGTGCTTTCATCTGTTTCTCGGTGTTTGGAACCCCTGATGAAACCCTCGCACTCGTTTTTGATATGTTTCTCAAAGCTTTCCCTTTTGGCTATCATTTCATAAATTCTTGCAACCTATTCTCTTGATTATAAACTGATATTGAATTTATACCATTATTCCACTGCCCTACTATCGCATTGCGACAAAACTAGTCGCGACGCCTTGGAACGTACGTTCCTATAATCGGTTCCATAAGTCGGTGTTCATCTTCTGCAGTCTATCCGTCGACCACTGTAGTTTTGATTGATTTATTGATTGGTTGATTGATTGATTGATGGATGGATGGATGGATGGATTGATCGCCTAATCCACCGATTGACCGACTGATTGATGTATTAATTAATTCAGCAATCTATTTTTTCAGACTTGAAAGCAGTCCTTTGACCGACCTGCTTTCAAGCGCTTTTGTAAGAATTGTTTAGTTAATGAAGTTGTGTCACTAATTTTTCATTGGTATTACCTTAACACCCTAAAAACACTTTCGAATCATCCACAAACCTGAAATAATGGTGCAGTGTTATTTGATATTGCGCTACAACTATAAGTTTGTCTCTTTCCCTTTCCATGGTCAGGATGCATGGAAACGGATTGCTACTTGAAAACATTGGGGCACCTTATTAAGTCCTGTGGTTTTGAAATTATGGTAAAAAAAAGAACCTGTAATGCTTTGTTTCCTTTTGATACAATCATTTGATATAGCCTTCGTGAGTCCTTGCAGCAAAACTCAAGTGTTTCGCTCAAGAATAATACAAATATAATCTGGTTCCATTCTTGATCTTGTTTTCTTTGAGTGTTGAATCAATGAATCTATACTCTGCTTTTGTGGCGGGGTTGAACAGCATGAGTGCATTTGATCGGCTTCTGCATGGGTAGTTTTCCTTGTGAAGGGCCATTTTTCGTGAACGGTGAAAAATGGTACATAACTGATCCACCAGGTACTTTATTGTGTCTGTGTCCTGAACACCCAATGTAACGTGTTCCCTTGGTACCCAATACTCTTTGCTTTCTGAACTTGCATGTACAATAATAAGCTCTGGAAGTTCAATAATAAGTATTGTTTAGAACCAGTGAAAGTTATTATTCTCTATTGCTTACTGAAGAGGCTATGTCACAAGGATATTGCTGTTTTAGGTCAGTTATGTGCTGAAGTCGTTACCTAGTTCCTTTGCGTCTACGGAAAACAGGAGAATTCTCCTGTACACTTATGAAGATATCAAAGCGTTTGTTGGTGTCTTATCTTAAGTCGTTGGACTTAGGTCTGGTTTAAGGCTACTGAGACCTTTTATTGTCTTAAATATTTGCGTTTTTCGCGTACAATAACTCCACTGTCACAAACCTGTTGCCACCTGACTGCCCTCGAGCAAAGAAGCGAGAACTAGAAACCAAAGCATGTCTTATCGTTGATTTCTCTCTTCGTCTCCGTAGAAGACAAGAACATGTACAATGTCATTCTTTCACGCCGTAACTAAACGTTTGTTGGAGAAAACGCGCCATTTCTGATGAGCTACAATATTTAGCTTGCGATGTTTTGATTCGCCAATAATAGAGTACCTGTTGTTTACGTTAGTTCATAATGTCCAATTATGCCTCTTGACCAGCCATAAAGAGCTATAAAGTGTACCTGCAGGCTGCACGACATCATGGATTGAATTCATGACATTTAGTGTTGTAGATATACATTTTGTGTACTATCTTATTGTATTTAGTGTTTGATTATTAAACTAAGATAGAAAAACAAATGATTTTAATTAGGGTTGGGGTCTTAGCGAGAGAAGTTTGTCTCCTGAGTTGTTTCAGGTCATATTATTGCAATCCTGGAGCTTGCATCAAATTTGCTCTTTTATTAAATAGGGAAACTGTAACAATGAAAATTTTAAACGAGGAATACAACATAACGAGGTGATAAGAAAAACAACGAACCTTAAGTTTTGAGCTCCTTGCCTCCGGTTTTGAGGCCGGGTCCGCACTTCATATTCCAGTCCCTGTGATAACTTAAGCTAAGGTCAAGCTACTCGTTTACACGGTTAACAAACTCAGAGGACTGGTGTGAACATAAGAAACTTAATTTGCAGGATGAGTTGAAACTGAGGATGATTATATGAATGTCGTATGTTGGAACTGCGAAATGAAGAAACAAATCGGCTAAGAAGAACATCACAGTTGTTATAGACGCAACTTATGTAGTTGGGAAAACAAAGCCTGAAAAAAATTCAGGCTTGCAAGTATAGTAGACTACAACTTGAAAAAGTCGGACTGAAGTTTTCAAGTTGTGACGAAGTGTTTTGAAATAATCCCAAAAAAGTGTCAAGGGGCCGAACGTTTGACTTTTCAGGGGGGTGCATGAGTGAATAAGAGATCTCAGAAAAGAATATTCTGCCTATAGCCTGATTACGAGGGGAAAATATCCTGCACTGAAAAAAATATATCTCATGGCGTATGATGCTGGAAAAAAATCTTACACCGTTATATACTGGGGAAAAAATTTCTGGCTCTAGAGGTTTGGGGGAAAATATTCGTACCGAAAACCAAATCACCCATGCCCCCTGCCCCTCCCCCTCAAAAGTGAAATAGTGGACCCCAATGATGGTTTGTTCCTTCTTATGGGCTTAGGGACTCGATTGGAAGGAAGTATGAACAAGATGTGGAATCACATTTTCAACGGCAAACGTCACGCTGAATTTGACATTTTGTAAAGTAGGAAATGAGCAGATGAAAGTTGTCCAAAGAAAGTATGTGCAAAAGGTAGCACTAAACGTTTATTTGTGGCTACATATAATTTACAGTAATCGAAAAGTAACGGGGGAAACTTGGTCGCGTGGTACAAGTTTATGTTATCTGCAAGGGCGATTCTATAAATCTCCATGAATACTTCGGCGGATCAAGTCTCTGACTTTATTATAGTACGGACGTAGACATTCACTGTTCAAAATAGGTCTCATAGCAGGACTATCAAATGGTCATACTGTCGTGTTTTCCTTCTTTCCTGTTAAAGGAAAGCGAGGCCGGTAAATAGATACAATTAATTATTTGTATCTAAATATAATTTTCTAGCAAAAGAATATATATTTTTAACTCGTAAATCTCTTCCTTTACACAGAAATAGAATATGTAAATTTAAAGGTTTACAACTTTGTAGTCGAAGATCTCATCTTTCAATCAGTGAAAAAAATCTGAACAGTTATTTATTCGAAGATTTATCTCATGAAAGCATTCCAGGTTTTTGTGAAAATTGAAGTGAATTTAGTTTACACATATATAGAAGCTGAAAAAAAATGTCCAGTTCCAGTGTTTATTATTATTATTATTATTATTATTATTATTGTTATTATTATCATTTTTCTTTTCAAGAAGTATTTCGTTCTCAAGGTACTAATTTTACTAAAATGGTATCAAAAAGTTAGGATGAATAAAACTTCCTAATGACGCAGTACATAAAGCTAAAGCTAGCAACAAGTGTAATATGAAATGTTTCATGTGGTTTTACTTCCCTGAATTGATGACTCGATAGCTGAAAGGAAGCTTTAAAATGGCTACGCGAACCTTCGATTTTTGATCTTAGCTCTGACGTCAGAGCTTTGTAATTCGGTTTCAACAATGGAAAGAGGACACGTTTTTCCCAAAAGCAAAGCTTAAAATAAATACTTTGACGTCATGGAAAAAACTGCGATTTTTTTGTGGCTAAATAACAAGCGAACGAATAAAACTTAAAGGATGTAAAGATGTTCGACGATAAATCTTTTGAAACTGGTGTGTCGGAGATTTTGAATAATTCGAAACACTTTCAGACGAGTCTTAGCGTAGCTTTTTTTAGAGTTTCAAATTTGTTAAATCGCATTTGGCTGCCAGTGGGCGATTTTAATTTGTGCATATATTAAGTCTGACACTTTACAAATAATGTGTTTAAATGAACTGTGTTTTACATGGTCTCGTAACTTTGATGTGTCGTCGATTTATAGGATAAAACCGGCCATCCTAAAACATCGAATGTGAAAATTGGAGATTTTAGAATGCATCTTTTACTTTGACTAAGTTAATGCTTGAAATTCAGAATGCAGCGCGTCGTAAACGTAATTGGAGATCAAATGTGCATATTCTATAAGTTTACGAGCACGTCAGTTTAACAAAGCGCTGTCGAATTATGTCATTCTCTTCTACCTACACACTGTATTTCCCACAAAAGCATAAAATCTTATATATAATGTGTGTTGGGCAGAATTGATTTAGTCATTACAAGTTGTGGCGATTAATCGTTGGCTAGAAAGTTTATATAGACGAGTCTCTTCTTTTAATTGTTTGTTTCTCGTAGTGAGACCTTCTCAGAGGAGATTTTAGCGCCATTGGTTATAACACCAAAATATCCCAGTGCTTAATTGTTTTCTGTCGCAGAAGCAAAAATTGACTGGCAACGAGCTCACTAGATTGTTTTTGTGTGACGGTATACACCTGTCTCGAGTATTGTTTTCTGATTGGCTGCTGGCCACAATATCCTATAATCAAATGCAAACTTTTCATTTTGAATTCAAGCAAGATGGCGGCTCGATGGACGCGTAGAAAATTGGAGTAAAAATATTATGGCTGTTCGCGAAGAAGACGCGAGAAAGAAACCTTCGTCGCCGAACGGGAAGCCTTTTCCATCGGCGGGCAAATCGGGCGTCGAAGATATTGTAGAACAGCTTCGGCGATTTAGCAGTGTTTCGCAGGAAGATTTTGAGAAAATGAGACTTGCTGAGAAAGAGGACGAATTTTTTGCCATTAGAAAAGCAACTGATATCACTGATCCAGACACTCAGGGGGACCCTTGTCCACCGCTTCCAATAAAGATCATTCAAGGCACCTTCAGGCATGTGTTAGGCGTCCGAGAGGCGTGCTCAAAAAATGGCACATTTTTGCAGCGCACGATTGAATTACGGCGAAAGCCCGGAGAGACCCTAGGATTTTATATTCGTCAAGGCGATGGTTGGGAACGCGATCAAGGGATTTTTGTTTCTCGTGTTGTTTTGGGCACCGACGTGGACGTTTTTGAGCTGTTACGAGTCGGCGACGAAATTATTAAAGTGAATAAAGTTGACGTACGGGCCATGACTATACAAGATGTGAGCGCGCTAATGCAGATGACGAGGCGACTTATTCTCACAGTCAAAGTTCTGACACCAGTGACAGCGATGGCCGTCAAGCGATTAGCTATGAATAGAGACAATAATATTCAAGGTTTAAAATCCTTGAGTTCAAGAACTCCTAGGACTGCAAGGTCCGAAGGGGGCTGCAGCGATTCCGCCTCAAATCCAAACCGTTTTCCTCCGGATCGTCGCACGACTGGTGGCGACAGACGTTTAAGTAACACATCAAGTCTAAGCCATCAGGCGAACTACAAAGTAGCAAATCTAGTCATAGGAAAAAATAAGGATGCAATGAGCTCGGGAAATCCTCAATCTTTGACGGCCTCGGGCTCGTCCTATCGTGGCTCGCGTCGCAGCTCCAAATCGCCCGTCGCTGGGAGGAGAGCTCTGTCGCCGATACGGGAAACTTCTGCAGATATCTTTAACACCGACAGCGAAGATCGTATGTCAGCTCATGAACGAGGGCGAACTAGCCGAGCTGCGAGTGTTGTGAGCTGGTCGGACCAGTTCTACAGCGCATCAGGAGCTAGTAGTCCCGTAAAACATAAGCCCAGTGATAGACGCAGGTCCGAGGCCCAGAGTTCCAGACCAAAGTGAATTGGAAGTGTAAAAATGATGTCTTTCATAGTTCGTTTTGTGGAATCATGACTCAAGGCATGGCGGGGTCAGGCTCGAATTAAAGATCAAGGTATAGTGGAATAAAGATGGAAAAAGCAAGGTTATTAAAAAATCATGGATAGGAACTTGCTGGATTGTTGGCTTGTTTGCACGGTCAGCTCTTTTTGCACTGTGGCGATTTTAAAGGATCTGACATCAATTTATCGGAATGTAATATGAATGGAAACAAACATATGGGGAATGAAATGCGTTTTAAACAATTTCAGCAAGATTTAACAGTTCTGATAAAACTCAGCTTGAATGGTTTCTTGAATAAGCACAAGTCTTCCTGGAGAGCAACTGCATTTGTTAAAAACAAAGAAATTTTGGCACTTTTGGATGAGTTATAGCGTTAGTATGCAGATAGTCTTTTACTCTACCGTAGCGGCAAAACAATCACCTTGAGCTTCCGACAAAATTTTGAGCAAACTCAAAAAATGTAGGGTTTTGACTCCACAACAAAGACATAAAATTAGGTACATTTTGGCAGATTTTCAGTATTGAGATAATCCCATTTTTCTGAAAACATTTTTATAATACACTTTAAGGAGTGAATTTCGGGAGCGTTGTACGATTTACGAAAGATAATTCATCCGGGCAGACGTGTTGGATCCGGTACGATTTTGGACGAAAGTTACTGTGTAACTAAGCGTGCTTAAGTCTAGAAAGTTTAATGTTGATGAAAAACTAGGTTCGGTCGCTGTCATTATGCGAACACTAGGTGACTAGATTTATGCAGTAAAAACACTGGAGCAACCTAAACTTGATTGTAACTCCAGATGTTTATGTAGGAGCGATTATTTTTTCTTTTCGTAATATTGAATATCGAGTAGAGCGGACGGTCGTATACCTTTTTTCTTTGTCAAGCACTAGAAAGACAAAAGCGGGTTAAAATAACTAGGGCGGAAAAGACACCGTCTTACGGTCTATTTTGGGCGACCACTTAATGATCATGGGAACTCTATGGCAGCGGTAACGAAATGATAGTTTTATTCAAGATGCTAAACAAAGCATTGTTTGAAAGGAAGTATTCGGGCACTTAAGATAGCTTTAGTACAGTTACAGCAAAACAAACAGGTTTGCATCGACCGCTGAAACGGAGCAGGACCGATTCCATCTTTCTAATCGCTGAGAATGGAAAAAACATTGCAGTATTTTTTCTGGTATACGACTTTCTTAATACCGAGGTGTGGGTCCGAGAAGATTCGAAAAATAAATTATAAATAATTAAAAACTGAGAAAACTTGTTCCCAAGATTTTTCTTGTACTTGGATTTATCTTTTCGACTCGTGATTTTAACCACTCGCTAGACTCTTTCGATTCGCTGAAATTTGCGAAAACGTGGGCTATAAAAAGCCGTATCTACCCAACACGAGGATAAAAAAAATTGCCTAAACTTTACCACTGTTTTATTACCTAGCACTGTTAGCACCTGCCGCACTGATACCGCAGAATATTTACCCCCAACTAATAAGAAAAAAAAATACAGGGCCGTCCGTTCTGTTTACTAAAATGCTTGGCCAAAAATAGTCCTGTTGACTTTGGAGATTCCAGAGATTTATTTTATATACTGTTAGGTTTATTTACGGTTGTTCTAAATACAAAATAAAGAGTTTTTGGATCACTTCAAGGCTTCTGTGTTGGAGAACATTGGTATCTTAACTTGCTAATTTATTTTCAGACAAAAAATCTAAAAACGTGGATGAGTGATAATCATTTATCTGATTCTTGCGAAGGTGTCTGTTCGCAATTCTCGAGATTTTAATGACTTTCAATAAACACCGTCGATCGATCGATTAAAAGATTGAAGGTAAAGGTCTACTATAACAGCTTTGGTTTTGTCTCTACGGATTTTTGTTTACTTCTCGTTTCGATCATTATTCGTGCTTTTTGTAAACACGTGCACAATTACAGCGTACACATTGGCTGAATACAAGACATTACAAAGGAAATTTGCATGCATCAAGCGGGCTTTTGTTCCTTGACTCTTGAAAAACCCAAATTTCCCAAAAATAAATATACAGACTCGAATATTATATGCAGATTTGTTATTTGAAAAACTTCTGAATAGTACTATGTTTTAGTACTTCCAAAGAGGTTTAAATTCATTGGATGGTTATACAATGGGTTTTCAGCCAGAGACTCAACGGTGAGAACAACTTGACATGTCCCTACAGTCATCCCTCTTGGCGCCAGAGGGCGCATATTATAAGTGGGCCTTTGTACATTATGCTTTTGTTTCCCTACTAAACCGCTCCACCTGAATGCTCCATTATTCTCACTAAAATGCTCGGTAGCCCCCAAGAATGTCACCCAAATGCTCGATAATGCTCATCATAGAGAGGATTTTTTATTAATTCTATTCTATTTTATTCTCGTTTAAGGAGGTGTAAGGATAATAAAAACGTATAAGTGGTATTGCAACAATGTAGACAAATGAATAGTTTAAATACAGCAAAAACTAGTCATCTACACGGCTTGTTACGGTGAAATTGGAAGATATATATATTTTTAACTTTTGGAGTGTAAGTCGTCATTTCTCTTAAAAATGTTACGATTTTCATTTTCTGTGAGAAAAGAACTAATTTTCTACGAAAATGCTAGTAAAATGTTGGAGTAATGCTTAATGCGTTTGCCTCACGAAAATGTTAAAACAAAATGCTAGCATAATGTACAAAGGCCTAAATATAAGGCCATCGATTATGGGAATATTAAGATGGAATTCTTTAGGAAGTTGAGTAATTTTAATTTTCAGTGGACAGAAACCTTGTACCAAAATAATTTAAAGCATATGGAATTCTTTTTTACATTTTTCAATGGCTATAGATGAAATTAGTCATCTGTAGTAACACGAAAGAAAACTTCTTATGGGAGCACGAGAAAATATATGACAAATTGCACAAAAGGACATCTTACACATGAAATTTTCAGGATTTTACCCGTGTTTTCACAATTCTTGTGAAATTTGACATGTTTTTCTCATTCTTTCCTTATAACAAATAAATAAGTGAATAAAAATCACGTTACCACGAAACTCTTTGACCACCAGGTAAAGTGTTCAAAGTTGCTGGTTATTAGCCAAGTTCTTTTTTGGGTCGTAATGGATCATGACGAAGTCGAGGTTGATAAAAACGCAAAAAAGAACGAGGCCAATGTTCAGGCATACTGTCCGAAAAAACTTGGACAATTAAGGCTTCATTATACGCGATTTATTGTTCTTACGGGACAAATCGATAGGCCCATCTTTGCTCGGGTAACCAATCAGAACAAAGGATTCACTTCATCTTGCACACTCGCGGAACCAGCCATTTAGAAATTATGTTTTTGAAATTGTCTGATGGAGCACATCATTTACTACGGCTAAAGGGATTCAAAGACCAACCTGTTGACGACTATGGAAGAACAGTTTGGCAAAGAGTAAAAAATAAATTAGGCTAGGGATCTCAGCCACATTACCAAGTGCAATCTAACTACATGAAAAGCTTTATGTCTTACCCGGAGAAAAGAAAATTTGGTTTGACATTTTTCTCGAATTTATGTCACCGTAATCCAAACCTTATCAGCGTAGCCGATGCTGGATTGGTAGCATTATTCAAGTCACTGTTCAAAATGAGAATCTTCTGAATGATACCATGTTCATCAAAACGGCCGATCATGGCGAGGGCGGAGGGAGTGGGTGATTCGGCGTCTTACGTCAATCTTCACAGACTGGAATACGTGGGAAAGAACACGTAAACATAAACCAGTATGATCAGTGAACACAGTCATTCTTTATTATTCCGTTCACGTTCTACATGGTTCATCTATTTGATCAACACGTTCTGTCAAATGTTCCAAATTTGCTCTCAGTGGTTAGAATTCCTCTCCAGTCAAAATTCTTTACGCGGGAACTATAGTTAAGAGAAAAAAACTACATGTTACTTTACTTTATCTTAATCGAAGCAAAAAAAAAATAATAAAAATTAACGAGTTTCGAATTTTATTGTCAGAGAGCAGCCGTCAAAACCGAAGAAGGCCACTTTCATCATGCAACAGTCTGGCATGTTTTCATGATCACGGTCACGTATTTCGAGAAACGTTCGTATTTTGAACGAGTTTTTTTAGCTCTCTGACTTAACGTGTTAAAATAAAAACTAGAAACTACGCGACCCGAACGAGTTTGCATGTCGCTCGGAGGAATATGGCTCAGTGACGTGCTAGTTCCAAGTATTTGCAATTGGTTATACACTCAAACTCAGGGGCACCCAACGACAATTGGCCTCTCCTAGGATTTTATAACCTATTTTTAACGGATTCAATTTTGAGCTCCGCACAATCGAACATTTTAGGGGATAAAAAAGACAGTTTAAATCTAAAATCGTTTAACAATTCTATGTTTGAGTGGTTTTGAACTATATTCTCGTTGGGTGCCCCTGCAAACTGAGCTCCGCACAATCCATGAAAGACAGATCAAATCACTGAGGTTCTATGTGTCTGTGACACGAAAAAATCATCAAGCCCAACGATTTGACGTTATCAACAATCTTTTTGCGCACCAAATATTCTAACTCTTTATCAAATCTAACTTATGAATTGATTTGTTAATTCATTTCTGGCATTACTGCGATAAACGTTTTTATTCATCTCTCGGGATATAGTCTGCTACACAGCCGTTTTTAGTGTCGTCACGCAACGCTCCTAAATTTTGAATAGGACTCGACTACGACAACACTGTAGTTAATTGCTTGTTTTCACGCGACGATTTTGATTATTCTGTCGTTCACACATGGGGCAACGATAAAAGCAAAGCTGTGATTGGAGGAGTCACAGTACCGCCAAGGTGGCGCGAACACTTTCCAGAAAATGGGAACTGAATTATAATTGGCTAATCACGGGAAAGGAATGTAGTTCGGTTTTCAGCAGCCTTTAGTGGGGAGGAGCGTTGCGTGACGACACTAAAAACGGCTGTGTAGCAGACTACTCGGGATATTGAATAACTTAAAAAGTTTTCGAAAGTAACAAGCTGACATAATAAATCCTACAAGCACAATGTTTTACTGACCTCAGTGGTTTATAATCGTGTAAACATAGTTTGCTACAGCTCCACCCGAGCAAAGCTTAGAACCGACAGGGCACTGGGTCGGATTTTCCTTCCCTTTAATATCACCATCATAACATTGGGAAGATATGCCGTGTAAGTTGTATCTGCCCTCCGATGCCTCGTCACTCCAACAGGACCCTGAAACAGTATTTAAGTCTTTGGCGTAAGAGACAAAACAAACGGGTCCATAGACCTGGGCTTTCACGCGTATCTTTAAGCTCATAAACGCTGTCTAATAGCTATAAAAACCTCCTCCTGTGTTCGCCAAACTAGTCAATCCCATTATTATCTCCAAAGGTCAACTCCATAGAGATAACTAGCTATCTCATAGCTTCATAAAAGCTCTTTAACTTCGAAAATACTCATGCGAAAATCATCGATGTCATTTCATTTCTAAGCTTATCACGAACCTTAGAAAACTGCCCTGTCTAGGAATTGATAACCTCTTCTTAGACTACTTTGCAATTGTTCTAATAAATTCTATGAACTTTCTGTATGCAAACGAAATTTCCAAGAATGGGAATATTAAGGATTCAAACTCAGCTGTTGCGTTTGTGTGTTTAGAGTCTCAACAAAAACTTTGATATGATCATATGACGCGTTGCTTGAAAAAAATGCTAAAACATCGGGGAGATGTAGAAAAACTCTGAACGTCCGAGCAGGTCGAGGCAAAATCCTCGCTCAATAACTTTTTAATTTGTTTCTGTCTTATTAACAGAGCCGTTGTTATTGCTTAAGCTAATTATGGTCAATCAGTTTGGTTTGGTGAATATTTGAGAATGGTGGTTTTTTTTAGCCAGTTTTACTAATAGAAGGGACTCGCAAAAATATATCCAAATTTTCCCCAATATGAGTGTCTATATCTTTCAGCTTACTTGTCCACATGCTCTAAGCTAAAGGAGACTCGTGGGAGCTAAGGCCATTAAACATCCTGCGACAAAAATCCTGCTAATCTATTGCATTTAACGATCATTGGAAAGATGTCACCTACTGATACTACTGAGATTTCAGCCCTTGCAATATGCAGGATGACTGTTTGATGGCATTAGCCACCCACGAGTTTCCTGTATCACGGAGTTAAGCATCTGGTTTCAACTCGCTGGGTTGGGAGAACTGAGACTTCCTCGTTTTTCTTTCCTAGTCGCCTTTATTATACCAACGTAACATAACATCATTTCAGTGATTTCCTTCCTACCAAAGCTGTTCACGCCAAAATACTGGTATCTCTTGGCTTTTGCAATCCGTGCACACTTGCAAAGGAACACAGGGAAGTCTGCAGTCCAGTTGCCAATCAACTGCCCTCCAAATACTGGACTTGAGGGGTCAACCTCATTGTAGATTTCCTCCCTCAGTGCTCGTGAATCTCTCACATCATTGTAACATCCGACAGGCCTGAACTCTATTTCACAATCTTTCTCCTCTGTGAAAGCAAAAGACATTCAAGAAAAACGAAACGTCTCTACTGAACTAGCGAGGGCGTAAAATAGCAATTCGTAGTGCACAACAAACTCCATTTCACATCGTTGTCGTTTGGCTTTGCTTTTCACAACAATATGTGAAAGTATTTTAATAAATTCCAAAGACGCCAGCATCGAGCATCCTGGGTCTGTACCTGTCCTCCTTATAGGAAAAACGCGTGGCAGGGTACAATTATAATTAAGAGCCTTTCACGATCACAGTGATGAATTAAAAAGTTCGTCTACCTTAGTGAGAACGTATTTTAAAGGATTGCAAGTCTTGCGATCTATTATTTAAAAATGCTGCCGTGCGCGTCGTTTTACAATTTTCACCAGTGTTGTCATTTAATCATAAAAGGAAACTTTATGCTCGATGAAACGACAGGAAAAACCTGTTTTCTAACTTACTAAGTTTATAGACAAAGTTGGCAAAATTCTGACCAACGCAAAATTTACTGTACGTCTGACATGGTTGGAAACATTGGTCTGTGCAGGCCCGTACTGGGCCATCTATAGAGAATGTGTTTTGAACATTTTCTCCACTCCAACATTCCCCTGAAAAAAAAAACATCAATTCATTAGGCCGTTTTTGAGTGAAGCAGGAGGGCTGCTTTAGTAAATTAGTTTAGATAAGTGCAAAAGCTTTTGAAGAATGTTTTAAGATCATTGATGGAAACAAAGTCCTCCAATACGACTCATGTCCCAAGCAATCCGCAAGTGTAGGTTGGTGTGAGTTCGATAAATCGTACTTCGGAAAAAGAATACTCAGAAAGTTGTGAAAGGTTGTTTGGGCCACGAATTGTTGGACCATTGTAATACTGCACTCGTCTTAATTCCCACCAGATTTCTAAAGTTTACAATGCAATGGAGACACTGCGTCTCGTGTTTGATTTATTAGGAGCGACCCATGTCAACAGGAAGTAGACTGCCCGCGCTCTTTGGCAATAGATTTGCAACCATAAAACGCCGGATTAGTACAGGCAAACTACTGATCTACAGCAGTGAAAATCCTTACCATAAAACTGCAGACCAAAAAAAGTCCATCCTTTCGCTTTTGCTTTCTTGGCACATCTACAGGCCAAATCTGGCACGTACACATCCCAGTTTCTCCAATCAACGAGTTTCCCACTGAAATGCTGGTGGTAAACATCTCTATCGTTCATTAAGAAGAATGGCAGTGGTCGCTGGGAACGATGCATGTCCTTGTAACAGCCGACTTTCTCATACTGCAGACTACATTCCGTGTCCACTAACATGACGCAATAAACAATATCATATCAGTCTTTTTGTTTATTTTTGTTGGGCCAAAAATTGAGAAATTCAAGTAGACTTTGAGAAAAGCTCCTGAAAGAGATTCCTTTTTCATTCGCGCCGAAGACGACAACCAGCGGTATATATTTAATAAATCTAACTGCTCAAAAGGGAAGGAAAACCTGTAATTATTCTTTGCAGAGAATTAGTTTGCGTGCAGAACAACATCGACTCTCTACGGCCTCGCGCGGGATAGCCTATGCTGCAAGTGCAATTTATAACCCGGCTAGTAGCTTCGGTGAAGCATTGCCGAGATCCTTGTTCTGTGCCCCCAACGGACTCAGCGAATTAACGGAAGCGCGTTTCAAATCAGTTCCCTTCAACCTAATCATCAAATCGACATTGGCTTATTTTACAGGTGACTAATTGCGCGTACTCTAACTCCTGGTACACAGGTGGGAACCTAAGACAAGGATTTGTGCCCTGGCTCGCAGACAGAGGTTTAATTTTGTCTTTGGTGCAGGCTACTCCTTCCCGACGTCTCTCCTCTTGATGAAAAAAGGGACTCGCAAAACCTAGGGTCGAAATAATGAAACCTTTGCAGCGAATTTGGTTATGACTGCTTCCATGTCAAAGAAAACTATCCTTGAGTGATGTAACGGTTACAAAACAGTCCAGCATCAATATTTTCTAGAAAAACCAAAGTATCTATCATTTGGTATTGGTTTTGGCTCACCATTGATACTTAACTTACCGAGCTCGTACACCATGTTAGTGAATGTCTTGCCCATGCAATACCGGTCATAGGCTCCGCAGGGTTGATAGTCGTCTCCAATGCACTCACCGATATTTGCTTTTCCCAGGGCCCTGTAATTGTGTGTGAGCTTGTGGCCCGCCCAGCATTCACCTGCGCTGAATGAAATTTGATATTGATGGTCAAATATAGAATGATGTTCATGATAATTTTGATGATAACAGGCCCCGTACCTAGACGTTTCACTCGATGAAAATTTGCGCCTGAGGAAGGCAATTATTGTATGATCTGAGGCTGAGTATGATATGAAGAATTATATCGAGAAGGGTGTCATAAGTCATATCCTTGATCTGCATAATTCTTCATATCATAGTTACCAGGTAAGCTTCATCCAAAATTCAATGATGATAAATTTTTATGTTTTCAAAATATAGTGTTGTCCCTCCTTTCTAGTAATTAACTGTCCAGAAGCTAGATTACCATTGCGATTGGACTCCAAGGCCGGACTAAACTCACCAGAAGAGATAGGCTTCTTTTTACAAGTGTGCGTGTTTGCATGGCTCGTGGACTAACTTTTACTCTAAATATTGGCAACGACTGAGCATTGATTTGGCGCCTAGCGAGTTCCGTGCAAGCTATTTTGTTAAACATGGCTATAAGTATAAAATCGTTGTCTTATTTTTAGGTCTGAAAATGTGTAACACTGGCTCTTTAGCTTAACACGTGACCCTCAAAACACACGACACTCCTAACGTTGAGCATAAGAGACATGCACACACTTCCTGTCTCTGCATCCCCGCGATAGAAGTCTACTGACCGTAATGCTGAAGTCCAATTACATCATATCCAAGTTCTTTTGCCTTCTTCGCACAGCGGCAAACAAATCCGGGCATGTAAATGTTCCAGTTAAACCAATCGATCCTCCTACCACCATAATTGTCCACAGTTGGGTCAAGTTCGTTTAAAATATAGTTTGGCAATGTCCGGACAACCTGATGGAGAAAAGTCTCTGGATATAAAACGTACTACAGTAATAAGTGAATAATTACTGCAGATGTTATTATAGTCTAGTGAGTTATACGCAAATTCGCGTATTTTGTCTAGCTACTTGAAATGTTTTTAGAAGTGCGCGATGTTTGCTCCCTTGCACTCTCGCACATTTCACATGAGACTCTTAAGAGGGTCCTCAATAGGTTTTTCGGGACTCGGGAGCTCCCTCATTTGAAGCTCGGGATTCGGGATTTTAGAGCAAAATAGGGGCGAATTTCGGGATTGAAAGTATGCTTGGGAGGTGGGATGCCAAAAATAACCCTCGGGATTACGGGATTGCACGAATTTTGGGTCGGGATTACGGGATTGAAGAGCCATTTTGGGGACCCTCTCTTAACCTGGTAACTCCCTCGAGTCAATATTCCTTTTCCCGAGGCGGCTCAGTACTAGAGCTCTCAGTCTTGTACCATAATCGCACTTCTTGTTTTCGCCTAGTGCTGAAAACACCAGCTTTTAATTCTATCCCTTTTCAGCGACCAGTTAGCATCATAACGCCCTTTGACAAAAGTTGATTGCGGTGCTTCGCGCTGCCCTGTTTTTAATTACTAATGTGGACAAAATTTGTGTAGCTTAACTACTTGAATTGTTGTTCTTGACTAGGTTACTTCTTTCCTCTTTTGAACCGTCGAATACCTTTTTCAACAACAATTAATAACTACCTCTTGACTCAAATGTGACTAATCAGTAATTAAAACTAAATACTCTCTTGCAATTTTACCGAATCTCTGTAGCAGCCAAGAGTGGTGAAGGCCACGTCACATTCAATTCTGCAGATATTTGTTTCTCCTGCATGCGTTCCAATAACTGCAATGGGAAATTCAACACAAAGAAGCACTATTTTAACTTATAACTGCACTAGTCAGTTACTACGCTTTAGGACCTTTTTGACGCAAGACTTTCTACGAAGAATCAAGCCCTTCATAATGAATTTTTAATTTCACTTGGCTATCACACCCTCAACAAAAGGAAAAAAGAATAGTTGAACCCATATATATTACTCGTACTTAACTGTAAAGGATTCCAAGAAGCAGTGTTCCTGAAAATTTCATTCTTCCTTGCCAGCCAGGTGATCTTTGATGTAAGTCAAAATAATATCACTCTAAGTTAAGGTTATAATAGTAATGCTATTTAAAGCTTTCATGTACCGTGTCGTAAACACAGTCTCCGTTAAATAAACAATCTAATATTGACAAGAGTTACAGAGAGATTGAATCAGTGACTTGCTTGTTTTTACCTGGGTGTATCATTAATTGAAAAAAAAATTACTAAAAGTGATCGAGTCTAACGTCTTTTTAAAAAATTTCACTTATTTCATTGACACTGAGATTTTACTTTCTGATTCCTCTGTCATGAAACTATCAAATCTAGTGAGTAATATTCCTTTGAAATCATTAAACCGAAAATTATAAATAAATATAACCGTAAAATTGTTGAATATTAGTTTACATTAGGGACATTAGGTTAATGAATTTTTTTTACTTGTTTGACTAGCTATCTGCAGGGTCGGGTTCACTTTCATTTCAGATGAAGACTGTCTTAGCAGCTAATCAGAAAACAACCGTAGCAAATCAAGAAGTAGTAAGAACGTACATGTTACTCTCAAATTTCAGTTTAATGTTCTAAGATTTTTTCCTTTTTCCTCTTCTGCTCGAAAACGTATAATTCAAGAATCCCACTTCTATACTTCCCACTGATAAGTCCTAGAACTAGTGCGATAAACTTCCTAAATCTCCGGAGTGGTTACCATCCAAGCCTAAGAGCCTTTCTTGCCTGGGTTGATATTTACTATTCTGTGCCATATGATTCTGATCTTAAATCTGAGGATAATACCGTTAAAGGTGACGGTTAACGGTAAAGCTTCCTCCCAACAGCTAGCACTTTAGTGCAAGTAATATTCCATGCCGTGCAAGTTGGTTATAACTGTGAATCTTTAGGTGATTTGAAATTGTAAGTTGAAGAGTTTTTGCACAAAACTACTGATTTTTGGATTGAGCTTCTAGAGATTAATGGAACGCTCTTTGATGTTAAAAAAGTTGTTTTGCCCTTCCAAACAATGTTAGAAAATTTTTACCGAAATTATATTTTTAAGTTTTTCTTTCTTTCACGACTTCATCTTACCTTCAAATCAACAGCAATGGAGAGCCTCCACACTTTTTCCTTATAAAAAACTAACGACAAAAACGCACTGATCGATGATACAGAATGTTACAGTTAAGTAACAACCGCTCGCTGAATGTGAGCTACACCAACGTTAATCAAGTTTCCTCTCGCTAGAAAGATTGCAATAGTACGAATTAAAAAAATCAACAATAACAATTTCTTTTGCTTATTTTTTTTAATGTTTTTGTCCTCAAAAGAAGCTGGTAGATTAGAAAACGTGTTATGTCAATTATTGCTCTTTTCACACCCTGTCGATTTTTTTTTTAACAAATGTTTATAACTTTTAAGAGACAGATTGGGCGAGTATTCAGTTTGTAAAGAATGCTTCATGGTGGCCTTAGTTTTTCTCAGTGAACCTTAACCAAAAGTGGTGGCCAGGTGAAAGTGCTTACAGGGCAAAGCTGTGATAAAATTACATGTTTCTTAAAACTGACTTAGCACTCCTAACCAGTTTACCGGCCAAACAATCTAAGAGGGATACGACTGCCTCGTTGCAAGGTTATTTTTGCTTCCTACCTCAATTAAGAATAATATTTTCTGTTGTTATTCTTCCGCTGAGGTTTTCTAAACAATCTGAACATTTTACAGTCAAACCCCCCTTAACCCTTTAAGCCCTAATATCCACATTCAAATTCTCTACACTGATCTCCATACCTTTTTTAAGAATTAGTTGAGGGAATTTGATAAAGGATCAAGGCATTTTCTCTTTGGTCATCATTTTATTAATTCTCGTAACTTTATCTCTTGACAATGTATGGACATCGTTAGGAGAAAATTGTTGTTGGTCACTATTGGGACTTAAAGGGTCAATACGGACACCTGACCTCATTATTACGGACAGTTTCCTTTGTCCTTGGGGAAAAAGCCCTTACATTTTCTCTAAATTCAACCCGCTTAATACGGACATGGAAATTCTTTTAGAAAAGCAGAAACTTAAGTAATCAAG